TTTGGAGGATAACGAGGAAATCTGGAATATCTCCAGGGGTGTGGATGTTGGGGATGGCAGATAGATGCCTTCTAACCCCACCTCCCTGCAGGCCTATGGCCACAGTGTTCTCGGCTCCTCATCTTGTTCTTTTTTACCTGGGAGATGGTGTGGCCATCTTCTTTAAAATGGGCACGTTAAGTATATAAATCCTTGTTCCATTAACGGTCTTCTCCAGCACTTAGCTGGTTAGCGAATAACACTTTGCTTTCATGAGACGTGAATGGATTTGTGCTGATTCATTCTAGATGCTTCTTTTCAAGTAGATTCTCACATGTACCTGTTGGAGAAATTCTAATCAATTTTCCAGTAAGTAACGGCATTCTGAAAGCTCAGACATACTATTCTTCATTATTTACCAGGAGATCTGTTTCTTCTTTAAAATAAATAAGTAAATAAATAAACAAACCTTTTTGGATTAGGAAGTAATTTCCTGAAAGTCCTTCAATGCTAAGAGTGATATTTCATAGATAAACCAACTGTGGTTTTTTTTTTTTTTGGTTACTTTTTAAACTGAAAAATAGGAGAATCACATTTTTTCAAGTGAGAAATGTAAGATAAAAACTGAGAAACAGTTCTCAAGAGAAATTCCCAAAGTCTGTTAGGTATCCAAGACTACATAGCACTTTCATTGTACTTAAAAGTGGCATTTATTTTTTATTTTTTAAATAAATTGAATTTATCATTTTTCATGTCTCTTTAATTTACACAGAAGAATCTAAGATAGTCACCAAGATTTTAAAAGTAATATCTGCAAAATTGCCAGCACCTGGTATTAGAAGTCTCGAGAAGGCAGGATGCTGTCCTCTGCTCTGAATGGATCGTCTAGAGGTAGCAGTGCTTTAAGGCAGAATGCAGATGGAGTCAGAGCAGTGTCTGAAGATGTCCTCAGGACCTGATTTATGTGCAGTCGGTGATGCCTGTTACATCTCTGAGCTTGCACTGTGGGTAGCTTGGCAAAAGCTTAAAAATGTTTTTAATGACAAATGTGACATTTATGATAAATCAATCAGTACTGATTAAGATGGTAATATTTTGTAAGTTTTTTGTTTGTTTGTTTGTTTTTTACCTGGACAGTACGTAGACTGGATATGAGAATTATCCATGCCAGGAGCTGGACACTGAGCTATTGTCTGAAGAGGGTGTGCACAAGCAGGCTGAATGTTATATTAACTGTACTCTTCTGTCTGTGCTTCAAAAAAGTCTTGAAAAAAGGGAAAAAAAAACAAACAAAAAAAAAAAACACTTGAAAAGCAAAAAGGTATTTTTAGAGAATTAGTTTTACTTTGTAGAATTGCAACTTGACATGTTTTTGAGGAGAAGAGAGCCATATCCATAAAAGAGATGAGATTTCCAAAACAACTTTAAAGTAAAGGGTTAATTTCCCAAGTATTAGTTTGATCTATAAAGATCAGATTCCTACAGAAGCCTGAGTTTTCTCTGTGGAGTTCCCTCATTGCTCGAAGTTCTGCTTTTCTCTGTATCTCTGATTCTGTCGAACTTCTCAGGGGTTAGCAATGTGGCGTCTGTTTGCTTTGTTGCTAGTCTGTCACTTGCTTGAAACTTCACGTAGGGCCCGTATCATCTGACAGCGCCATCATCTGTCTCCTAATCCAGTAAGCATATTCTTACCACCGTACTATATACCTGCAGAATTGGTCCGTATACAAAATACATTGTGTTTTTTCAATCTTATTCTTAGTTTGTGTGACAATATGTACAATTGTGGATCAACAGCTAAGCATTAGTTCATTGCATAGTCTACATATGTTGCTTATCTGCAGCATCATACAATGTATGGAGGTTGAGTTCTTACTGCTTTCCTCCACCAAGGAGGGATATTATATGTACAGCTGACAAAGCTCACAGTTTTTTAATTGTCTTTTTTAACATCTGAATTTCTCCGTAAAATTCTGTTGAAATTTGACAGCCAGTTCAGAATTACTAGTGGTGATGGTAAATGGAGAAACAGGCAAACAGGATGTTTCAGATGCGTTCTTCCTTTGGAAATGAGTTTAAACTGATCAGTGAGGAGCTCCTATTGTTTATATTACCTCATATAAATTACTGAATTGGTTTAGAGCACTCAGCCAGGAAATGGGAAACGTGCACTGAGCTTCAATTCTCTGTTCTGCCTGACAGCACTCCCAAACCCTGCTATTTTGGAGGTGTTTCAAGTCTTGGGGAAATTAAAGAATTTTTGACAAGCAGGTGCATCACATTAAAAAGATCTTTGTACAGTAGTCTTCAGTGATGGTCCATTTTAGCTTTGTCATGACTGCTTCATTGCTAACTGATTCCTAGAGGATGCCATTTAGATACAGTGGGTTCTCCAATAATCCTGGACAAGAATGTCCCAGCTTAAGGAGGAACAAGATGTTACTCGTGTAGCTCCACAAAGCACCAATTATCTACTCTCATTCTGTTCTTATTCCACTTCAAGTTATTTAAGTGTAATACTCTTTTTTGTGTGTGTTTTTTTTTTCTTTCTTATTTTTTTAAGATAGGGTATTTAATTTACTGGAACTCCAAAGCAAAAGGAATTAATGTTATATATAAATTCTTGGTTACTTCATTATGACAATATTAATTAGTTGTATGAAATAATACAATTGTTAAGGCTTTTCAAATGAAAACTTCTTCAACATTTTAGTATTTTGAACTGTCTGGATGACTTTTTTTCCAAATATGTTGTTAATGCTTCCAAAGTAATCACATTCACTATATACATCAGGGTCAGCAGACTAGTGGCACAGAGCCATATGGACTATATATTTTTGAATGGTGCAGAACTATTGTCTGTGTGAGGCAACAACTTTTAATTCCTACGTTTCTTTCAATTGACTTAGCCATTACTTTGGGAATGAAAGTACAGCATTTTAATGGCTGCCAAAACATCTACACATTTTTATTTTCCTTCAAGTGAAATAGGAAGAAAATGGTAGTGGATGAATTCGGCTCATCTGCGAAGTGGTGTGTGCATGCTGTCTAAACATCTTACAGTCAGTAGCGTCTTTTGAGGGCAATTACAGTGCTCCTTTTCTGAACAACCTTTCAGAGGCTTAATTAGCCAAAGTACCCAACGTTAGATACCAGAAGTCAAATGAGTTAAATACGCTCACCCTCTTAGCAGTGTTCTTTCATAGTGCTCCTACTACTGTTGTTATTATAGTTGGAGTTAATAAATATATCAATACTGCAACTTCGTAGGTACAGTAATCCATTCAGTTTAGTTTAGACCGTTCTGTTTGCAAGCTTCCTGAGGCAAAAATATATTGGAACAGCATTTGACATAAAAGCTATAGACAAGCCTTTCAGAGTCATTCCAAACCTGAAACGCATATTACTGCCTCCGTTCTGACGTCTATTTCTTTTATGTTCGGTAAGTTGGTTGAGCAATGTGTGGTTCTTGGACCTTCATAGTACCTCAGCTGAATTTCTGTAATGGCCTTCAGATCAGACCAGTCTATATGAAAGAGATTTTGGGAGCAGAAGAGTAACGCTCGTCTTCTCTAAAGCTTGTAGCATCTACTGAACTACCCTTCTTCAGTGTGAAGTACATGGAGTTTGGTCACTTAAATCAATACGCAACACAGTACTTCCCAGTTTCTCTGATAGATGTTATGAGTGATGGTCAAAGGATCGTTTTTAAACATGCAAATTATGGATACGTAATGTATTACAACCTTACGTTTGTTTTGGACAAACCACAAAGCTCTCTGCCTGGTAAAGTTCACTCTATTTTTAATACTTCCCAACCATCAGCTATAAGATGAATATGCAAACTTATTGTTTTGAAGTTTTCATTTGTTTATTTAAATTTGCAGTGGTATTGATTTTCATCTAGAGACTGTTCAGCATCTACAATAGTAATTCCATTTTTTTTATTTTAAATGGCATCAGGTGTTTTACAGGTTCATATGTTGCGACAATTTGAAGTTAAAAATGGAATAGATGTCTGTGTTGTTTAGTAACCAGTTATGCACATGTCGTCAGATGTTCTAGGAGGAATTAACTTTTTCGTTGCTCTTTTCCAATGAAGCCCCTGTGTGCTGTTAATAGTGGGATATTGTTATATTTTTGAAAAGTGTGAAGTTTGGAAAAGGTGTGTAAGGTAGCTCTAGCTTCTCAAATAAGTCTGGTAGCCGACTGCCTACCTGCTCACCTCACCTTATGCTGTGGCCTTAAAGCTTCTTCCCCATCACCTTACTTAAAATTTGGGTGCTGCACCATCACATGAAGTGATGTAATCGTTTGGCCAGATGCAGTCATGCTCACACAAGAAGAGAAGTGTCTCTGTTGAAGAGAAAAATGTGACCTATGATGGTAATGTTTGGTGAGAACAGATAATTCCTAGAGGACAGTTTTTTTTTTTTTTTTTTTTTGTTTTGTTTTGTTTTTTTTTTGAAAGTATGGAGAATTTATCTTCCCAACATCACATTCTCTGCAGATACATGAAATTTGGAACCCAAAAGCTTTTGGCATCCTAATATTAGATTCAGGTTACTTCAGGTCTCGTTGTAAACCTTAGTCATGTCCTCATATATTATTTTCATTTCTGTTCACAAGGACAAGCACACACACTCATACTTTGGTCAGATAAAAGATTGTTTGACTTTCAGAATAATTAAGCAGCAAGAATCACAGGAAGAACCATTGAAAATGTAATACCTTGTACCAAGTACAAGGTATTTAAAGATTAATTTTGGATATTTAACTTTATTTTTCATGCTGGGGTTCCTAATTGTGATGTCTGCGTACATGGGTTTTTGCATTGCATTTAGCCTGATCGCTGAGATGTTTACCGAGTTTTTATTCATTTTGCTTGGCATTGTCAAATTTCTCTGGATGCTTTTTTATTCTTTTTTACTCTGATGCTTGGGGAGCAGGATGAAACCAACTGGAAAAAAATATATATAACAAATCTTGCTCATTTTACTTTGTTCGCTTTTGCTTTACAGGAGACACATGAAATTGTGGCAATCAAGAAATTCAAAGACAGTGAAGGTAACCTTTTCTGCTGTGTAATCTTTCATGTCAATAATTACCTTGTTAATATCTCTCCAGTTCAAGTAAGAAGTCTAATATAGCAAGATGTGATTTTAAATGATCATGATTTATTAGCTCTGTGAATATTCAAGGCACTTGATTCTTTATACCCGCCTAGGGACTGTATTATACACTCAAACCAGAAAACTTTGGGCAACCTGTTTTAGTGGGAGGTGTCCCTGCCCATGTCAGGGGGCTGGAATTAGATGGTCTGTAAGGTCCCTTCCAACCCCAACCATTTTGTGATACTAACTACCTTCCTTTCTTGGAAACAAGACTGGCTTTTTGGCCTGCACATGTTCACGACAGTGAAGCCCAGTATGCTGTCATAGGCAAAACTGGCAATCAGCTGCTGAGAGCAGATGTCTACCTTGCATGCATCAAAAGTTAGCCCTAATCCCTCCTGGCCTAGCACAAACAGAAAGAGAAGCTGAGTGTGAAGTAATAAAAGGAGTAATCCCAGTCAGAGGTGATGTAGCTATAATCAGCTGTGCACCAAGGCTTTAGCAGAAAGCTCAACAGTCTAATGACGTGGTTTAAAGAAATAGCAGCTGTTTTATTATAGCAAACTTCCATTTTTTGGTATTGTTATGGAGTTGTGGATGGAGGTGTGGTTGGTTACAAGGACTGTAATTTTCAAAGTCGGTTAGACACAGCAAATTCAGATTGGCGTCTGTCATTTCCTGCAATACAAACTCTCACAGTGCGGGTAATTTTGCCAGATGCTTGAAGGGTGTAGCTGATGAATCTTCTGCTATTCAGAAATCTGTTTTAAATCCCTGTTAAAGAAAGAAGATCATTTAGTTGTGGTGGCCATCTTGACCAGGTCATGAGATTACTTCAGAGTCACATTTTCTACTTCGTGTCAACTGTTGAGTAAACATCAAAGACAATGAGGCTCAGTATTAAGCTCTAAACAGAATTATGATGTTAGACAGTACACCAAAAAAAAAATAAAACAAAAAATGCATCCTTGCCATTAGTTTTGGCTTTCCATGAGAATTACGTAATAGCAGTTTACATGACTGATGACTGCTTTTCGGAGTTGTAGCTAGTTGTTTACAAGTTTCTGGAAATACGACAGAAGTTCTTTTGATAGATTTGATTCAGGCCATTTCACATCTGTCTTTTTAATATGGTGCTTCATTACAAATCTGAATGTACTGTAATTGTCTCTATTGCCATTTTTGTTTCGCTGAATTTTTGCTGTTTGACATGTGCATGCTAAATGAGCTGGAAAGAGTGTGTCTAGTTTTAGAAGAAATTATGTAATTGGGCTGATGCAAGCCAACACTGAGCACTCAGTTTCAAAATGAAACGATTTAGATGGGTTTAAATTATATATTTTTAATCAAAACATTTGTGGTGCTAGTATTTTATTTTTCTCTCTTCTCCTGCTACTCTTCAATATTTTTTCATCTACTGATGATGATTGTATGCGTTCATATGACCTGTGCTTTTCTCTCTCTCCTACAGACCTGTTTTTACTTTTTGCTTGCTTGGAAAAGCAGTTTCTCTTCCTTTTTCTCTTATTTCTGTGTCTTTGTGGTACATGACCTGCCAGAGGGATTTAGTTTTGATTTCATGCAGTCATACACCATTCAATAGTTGTGGATAACAATACTAAGAGATTGAGAACCTGTCTTCTACATGTGCATGGGCAAATTTGCTGAATTAATAGATTCTAATATACTCCATTTTATTTGATAGTTCATTGGTACTATCCTCTGGAACTCAGCCAGTTCAGTCACTAACCTCAGCAAAGTGCTTATTCGTCAATAAGCACTCTACAAATCTTTTTTTTTTTTTTTTTTTTCAACAACCTTCAGACAACTAAATTGTCAAAACAATAGTTGAGTATCTTGACTTAGAATCACAGATTCAAGGCTTCATTGAATCAGTATTTGCTTTACTGCCCTCTGTGGCCAGGCCACTACATTGATCTGCTTTTCTGAATTTCATTTAAAAGCCGTATGTGGAAACTTAAAGGACTTACAAATCTGTGCTTCTGCCTTAATTTGTCATGTTTTTAAATTACTTTAGAATCAAATAGATCTTTTTTGTTCAAAACCCAGCAATGTTTGCATTCTAGTGCTTCTGGTGAGAACGTAACTTTGTCAGTGCTTCGTGCATGTGATAATTATATGTGGGGTGGAGGATGTCTGTACAGATACAGGCATATTTTTGGAAGTCTATTAGTGGTCTTCATAATGAAAAGATAAAAATGCAAATTATTGCTTCTTATGAAGCAACATTTTCTGCCACTGGAAGCCACGAAGGTAATGAAGGGAAGACTGTAAAGGTTACGTAATGAGTGCACAGCCATCAGCTACCTCTCTTCCAGCTATCTCTTTTTAATCAGGGATTCAAAATAAAGATTCATAACACTTCTAACTGTTTTCTTAAATAAGTTTTACTTTGTCACTTTTGCATTCTAGAAAATGAAGAAGTCAAAGAAACCACTTTACGAGAGCTTAAAATGCTTCGCACTTTGAAACAGGAGAACATAGTGGAGCTGAAAGAAGCCTTCAGAAGAAGAGGAAAATTATACCTAGTATTTGAATATGTGGAAAAAGTGAGTTGAGTTTATACTATCCTTGCCACGCTTAGATCATCAGCTTAATGAAAAAGTCTTTAAAATTATTTACACATTTAAAAATGAAACACTTATAATCTATGAAGAAGAACAGCAGAAAAACTGTAATACAATCTGAATTGTTGTAATTACACATTTATTGTGAAAAAAATGGCACCGATAACTTTATTACTGTTTTTATACTATGTGTTGGTCTTTAAAAAAAAAAAAAAAGAACAGTTCTTCCATACATGAACAAACATATTAAATTTTGTACACTGGAATACATATAATTTGAAGAAAATTTTCCATCCAAATGCTTCATTTTTAATTGTGAAGTAGATTAACTGCCATGTGTTATATGTGTAATGAATTTCTTAGTCTTTCAGAACAAGATCATAGATTTTTGACCTTGGAATTTGTTGCAACTTTCTCGATCCCTGCCTGATAAAAATAGGATTTTTGTTTGAATGTTTCTCTAACAAGTCCACTATTAATCGTTGCTTAGAGGTATTTGGCAAAGATCACTGTCATTATTTCCAATCCTGACCTCATTTGAAGCAATTCCAAAACTTTCTTAGATTGGCCTACTATTGCCAAACATTCTGCCCTGTTTCTAGGGAGAAACAACCTAGAAGAGATTGGTTCTCTGTTATTTTTTGCAACCTTTGTGATGATGGTAGACCTTACATCTGTATCCTAAGCATTTAGCATTTCTTCATGGAAATAATTAGATGGTATTTGGATACAGTAAAATTAAATGCAAGCTTAAATATATGTAGCTTTCACGAGATACTGTTCCCTTGATTGAAATTTTCATTTAATGAAAATTTCTTGCCAATCCCTGCCAATGTGATGTTGCAGTACAGCTAGGTGCTAGTCCTTTCAGTCAGTTCTTTCCTGTGTAAAGGTTCCCCACCCTAAATAGTGTCTCATTTACCTCAGTTTGCAATTTACTATGTGGTATAACTTCATTGCATAATGGGAGGTGACCTATTTTAGGCCATGGCTTGGCATAAGTCATTTTTGTTTTTCATCAGGTTAGCAACTCCAAATGTGGTGGATCTTTCTTAGCCGTAACATCTGAAGCTTGACTTGTTCCACTCATATTCGTTGTGATTGTTCCAGATTTGTGGAATGTCTTTGAACACACACCAAGCAGAACATATATTTAATTTTCTATTATAGTTGAATTAGCTAAGCTCACCCTAGTAGTGGGTTGGAAGACAAGCATCAATAAAAGACACTTAATTTCTCTAACAACAGCATATTTCAAAAAACGTTAAAGATAGACATTATGTGTCCAATGCCATTTTTGTTCTAAAATTGTTTCTATATGAATGACCATCTTTACTTACAGTTAAACTTCACTTTCCATGAATGTTTCACGTTTTCAGATGTGTTGAGTAGTTTCCACTGGTTCTTATAGATGTCTATAAAACCAATCTAAAGCCCAGGATGATTTCTGTATTTTCAAATGAGAAAGAGTAGAAGGAATTAAATAAAACATGGTACAATATGCTAATACTTGTTTTAACTGGTGATGAACAGCATGTGTTCTTTAGGGAATCTTAGCACTGCAATACTCAAATCCAGATTACTTAAATTCACATTTAGTCTAATCTTCTTTATCCATTACCCTTAGTTAATGTCTTCATATAGGATTATGTCTTGCTGTGTTGATGTTACTATTTTCATTCATATTTGTAGCACTGACTTTTTGACATAACTTGTCCGGAACTATAGGTCTCTGTGTGGACAAGAATATGACAAATGAATATGGTTCCTTAAGAGAAAATTCCTTCTCTGAGCTCTGAAGTGTTGCACACAGCACCTAAGTTGCAGTATTTATTCACAGACTGTAAAATTCAGAAATGTTTTTAAATATTAATAGTCTCCCACTTGTTTTCTCTTCTATGTGTGTTATTAAAATATATTGCAAGGGAAACATCACATTTTCTTATACAGCTAAAGAAAATGTTTATCAAAGCTAAGGTAAACTTATTTTAAATGAAAAATTTGCACAAATGCTCAAATTCGTAATAAAATGAATTGTGTAAGGCAATATAGCCAAAATACTTATTTCCGTTTCAGTTTTCATTAAATAACACTCTATCCTGTCTTCAAGTGGGCTGCTGATGCCCATTATTCATTCAACTAGGATTTAGAGTACAAATTCCATTGTACTTCTAATTGTACAAAATTGGAGACATTTGCTAATATAATGGAAATCTGAATGTCATTTTTCAAAGGGGAAGCTTACTATTATAAACAGTTTAATTTTTGCATTGGTATATCTGTGAAATAGTATGGGCATAGTTACTGTAATGCAAAGATGTCTAGGGTCAATATAGCTGATAAATAACTATAGGATAGGTTATAGGTTACTGTTTATGCCCCTGTGAGGCATTTTTGTGTTATCTCATTAGCGATATTTTGTAGCTTTAGGTTGCTTTTATGTGCCCATTCACATACAGACATGGCTTGTGATTAATCATAGTTCTGCTATGTGAAAGCCATAGAAATAGCTTATTAATATTTAGAAAATGCTCTGTTTTACTAATTTTTCATACAGCCACAGTGACCTGGTATTTCTATTCAAGCAAGTTTCTGTATGTAAATGACTATTTAGAAGCTTTAGGATAATTGGTTTGATGACAGCTTTTTAAAGACTTGTGGTACATTTGTGGTTCACCTTCAAGGCTTATTGTTTTCACAAATGCTTTCTGTAGAATGAAAACAGCTTATCTATGCTTATCATTAGAATACACTCCCTGAGTGTTAAACTATATTTTTTTTCATAGTCAGTGGTGTATGTTGTTTTCAGAAGGCTGAAAATGAGTTGTGTTCTAGCTACTACAGTATAACTTATCGAAATAATGTCTTTTAAACTTTTAGAATATGCTTGAATTGCTAGAAGAAATGCCAAATGGAGTTCCACCAGAAAAAGTGAAAAGCTATATCTACCAGCTAATTAAAGCAATTCATTGGTGTCATAAGAATGATATTGTTCATAGAGGTAAGTGTGTAGCTCTCCACATGGAAATAAGCCCCTGATTGAAATTTACTTTGTACCAAGAAAGAGATTATAGCTTGAAGTAATTTGCATTTAACATAAACATAAGCAGTTCCTCTATGTCAACAACAGAGAGAAAATCTCTAAATTTGGCTGGGTCTTAAGCCTGCCACCTGACTTCATATTACTTTAAAACTAAGTTCATCTACTTAAAAAGCTTGCTGTCCAGTATCTTTGGTGTATGAGTAAAGGTTATATTAAATGCACAACGAAGTAAAACTGAAGTACAAACATTGCCAAAGGAAAAGGAATTTTTAAACATTTCTTGGCACTCAGTCGTTTCACTTCTGAATCTGATAATGGAATGGTAGTAGAAAATTAACCCAGAACTTAAAGCTTACTCCCCTGTGCTTTACTTCTGCTTACAGCAGTTCCTCCCAGCTCCTACATGTATGACTTAGGCTATGTATATTTACTTTCTCTCCTAAACTTCAAGCACTTCCAGTCCATATTTTGATGTATGATAATGTCTAGCTTTATGTAGTTTTTTGATTCATTTGTATTTTGCTTTGTGGCTTTGAAGGAACAACTTTTCTTTCTAATTAATGTTTCCAATAAATTACAGTTCTCATGCAGTTTACTTCTTGTATTTTAGACAGATCAAAATGTAGGCAAGAGTCTGAAATATTTTGTAAAATACACTTTGAACAAGTATAACATACACAGATACTACGACATGTAGATAGGAATAAGGCACAGACTTAAAACCAGAGAACACACTTTCTCTAAAGAAATGGCAAGAAACGCTTAAGAAGGGCATTGTAACTGAAAATGTTGAGCACGACACAACAGCTTAGTGATTAACAACAGCTTAGTGATTGAGTAATTCAATGACATTTTTTGTATTGTTTTGCAATATGCAATATTCTACATGTTGTTTTGCTCTCCAGAAATATCTGTAAGCAGCTTTTACTTTCCAATGTTTTGTTGGAAAATGCTTTAAGAGACTTTACGTGGCAGAAAATGATTTCAGCTTGTTCACAGATAGAATTGCTGTAGCTTGTAATGCGTTGTTTATGATTGCAAGAGTATCTTGAAATACATTATTATTAAATAATATTGTTGGCAAAGTTCAAAATTAGGAGAAATTAACAGCTGTCTTTTTTTTCCTTTGTTATTTGATGCTCTAGATATCAAACCAGAGAATCTCTTAATAAGTCACAATGATGTTCTGAAGTTGTGTGACTTTGGTAAGTTCAATAGATGGATTTCTTCTTACCTTTTCAAGGAAAATCTCTTGCAGTGGATTTTCTTGCCTTAGTGTTTAAAACCCTTTTAGTGGTCATTACTGAGGTTTGTGGCAATTACTTTAATTTCAAAAATCTATGGGCTTAATTTGCATACTTTGGAAATACCGTGTTGCCATATCAATGGAAATGCTGCACTTGTCTCTGCCTTATTTGATAGGGTTTTTACTAGCACTGGTACTGGCACTTAAAAAGAACAGCACAGATGATAAACTGATTAGAAGGCTAGCCAAACTATAGATTTATCTAGCCTGCATGTTAAAAGAAAAGATGGTTCTTGTTTTTGAAAGACAAAATATATTTTTGTATACTTTTTAAACCACCGGCTTTCGTGGCCTGTTAGGTGTATAGTTACAGATCAATTTTTATAGTTGTATTAATCAAAAAATCGTGTCAACATATGATTAATGGCTGAAGGATAGAGTCAGAGTGGTACTGGTACTGTTAACTTTCGTATTTCCTGACTTATCAATAGTCAGCTTTAAGTCTTTGAAGAATCAGCACCCAAGTACAAGACAAACTTTGCCCATGTGAGTAATCCCCAGAAGACAGCAGGGTGGCATATACACTGTTCCAACAATCTCTATTTTTATTTTAAATGCTACATAAACACAGAATAAAATATTGTTCCCTCTAAAAAGCTTACAGTTTGGCTTGGTGAAATAAAATTCAATTCCATGCTGCTACCCAAGGGCACTTTTCAAGAGAGCACTTTGAAAGCTGTCATTTCAAACCTTTGCAATTTTGAATGAAAAGAGGAACCACTGAAAAAAAATAAATAAATTGCAGTAGGTTTTTAGGAACACAGAAAAAGCATTTGTCTTTTGCAGTGCTGCTTTTCTTTCAATCCTAGGGGTATTTTTGCCTAAGCATTCAGCACCAGCAAGCATTCCAGGAAAAGCCTTAGAATATTTGGTCCACATGAGTTCTTTGAACTGAGGGCATCTGACAGCGCACAGTGGTGCTGTTGGCGGTGCCTGCAGTGCCTTGGCCCTCTCTCTGGCCAGGGACCTACTGCCTGCCCCTACGCAGCCGCCCTCTCCTGCCAGCTTAGGCCCTTCGAGACCCCCAGGGTTGCCGGTGCTCTGGTGGGTGGCAGGGGCAGGTGGCGTGCCTATTGCCCCTGTGGCTTCAGCTTTGGGTGTCTGGGGGACACAATTGCTGCCTCTTGCAGAGCTTCACATCCAGTCGGCAGACAGTGCTTGCCCTTGACTAGTGTGTGCTCCAGTCAGGACAAATCGTGTCATGAGGAGGAGCATCCCATGGTAGTGCTCCCTTCCTTCCTCCATCTTTGTCCTCCTGAGAGCGAGGTTCGCCACTCGAGCTGGCACATGCCATCAGCTAAGCAGCCCTTGTACACCAGAATGTGTGTCAGCAGCCTTTGTGCTTTGCACTGCAGAAAAATGGAAAGCCAAACAAGCTGTACAATCATGTTATGGACAGCAGTTTTCTCACCAGATAGAGGTAATGTGAATTCTGTCAGTGGAGACAATCTGCGTTGTCCATAGGCTTGCTCGTGTCATACCCTCAAGGCAGATTCTCCTTCTGCTGTTGGAAAATAAATGCAACCCAAAAGTCCTTCTGGTGCTCAGCAGAGCCTTAAGGAAGAAAATTGGAGGAACTTCTGTTGTTATTGTTCACATGGATTAGTCTGGATTTTGCTTATAGTCTTGGACTTAATTTCAAATTCTAAGCAATACTTACAATTTGGGATCGATTCTAATTTTTAGCCATGTTGCTAATTAACATTCCTGTTAATAGCTTAAGTTATTACTGTAAAAATCAAAGATTATTACTGTCAGAGAGATATTATCCACAAGAGTGTTCCTTGCACATGTACAGATTGGGATGTAAGAGTTTGCCTTCTAACATGGTTTAACATATGTTACCTGCCTACCTAACTTCATTTCTTGGAACACAAGTACTTGTCACGTACAGTGCCACATTCCTCATGTGACAGCAACAAATGCAAGTAAAAGGTCTGTGCATCAATCCCAATGCAGACATTGCAGTAATTGGGTGTTCGGGAATAGCCCAGTGGACAGAACAATTTGACTAGAAAAAATAATAAAAATTAACAAGATAGTTCTTCGTAATCCTTGTGCCATGTTCTGTACATATCGTACCAGAAAAAATGGGGTTGAATGTGGTGCTTGCCTGGACACATGTTGTGTGGGTGTCATTTCTGCCAATAGAAATGGGAAAGAGAACAGCACAAAATGCCGATTACAGCAGATGCATCTGACTTGTTAGAAATTGGTAGGCATTCTGTTTAGTATGCTTGCTGTTTCAACACCAGGGCTTCAGAATTACTTGTTTTAAAAATGGCTTAATTTCTGTATGATACATGAGCACAGAAATCATGAAACAGGGCTGGAAAAGACCTCAAGAAATTCTCTAGTTCTTCCACCTACTCAGAGAAATGATTAAGCCTGTTCGTGTCATTCCTGACAGGTTTTGCTTAGCTTATTCTTGAAGATCTCAGTAATTCATGTTCTTTACTGTTCCTAGGCACCTATTTAAGTCCTTGCATGTCATTAGGAGGTTGGACTTAGATAATCTTTGAAGGTCCCTTCCAACTGAATTATTCTATTCCTTTAATGTTAGAATTCTTTACATTGTCTAACTTAATGTGCCTTATTTCTCTGTAAGAAACTGCCAGTCTTCTGAACTCCTTTTTCCCTCACACCTTTTACCTTGACATCTACCCTCCTCTCCTCAGAGTTGTTTAAAGTCCTTTCTTGAAATCTCATTTTTATTTTCGTTGTTTGCCTTCCTTGCATTGGGATACAAGCTCTGTTGCTTTCATAGTTGCTCTCACCCAAATCACTTTCCATGTTCATGTTCTGATCTATTTCTTCTTGCTGTTCAGAATTTGGTCTAGTCTTCTGCCTAATTACCTTCTCTTATGTTTTGTGTCAAAAATTGTACCCAATACCTCAGCACAGTTTGGAGGTAGGGTCAGTAAGCTAGCTCTGCCACAACAGAAAAGTAGCAATTGTCCTGTTAGAAAGGTTTTATGCTTTTTTGAACTATCAATTCTGCGCATCATCTTTCAGCATGGTGACATACAGTCAGAGCAGTAGTGCATCCATAAAGTGGTTTCTTACACACCTGACAATATCTAGATGCCACTGACTTGATGCTCTGGTGCTGGTGGGCTGGTGCTGTACACTACCACATGGGCTGCTGTGATGTGATTATTTGTATCCTGTGGCCCCTTTATCTTTCTCCCATCATTCAGGCTAAGGCTTCCCAGTTTTGGCTGTCCCATTTCCTCAGGATGGCTCTTGGTTATTTTCCTTCTCGTTTTTAAAAGCACGAATCAAAGATTTTTCCCGGACCAGATTAATCAGATGGGTCATGTAATTTGAAACAGAAAGAGGGCTGCCTAAGCAGTTCTAAATATAGCAATGTTTAGAAATTTACCCAAAAGTTAAGTTAGTTTTAAGTAATTAAAAAAAAATCCTTTGAAGTTTTTTCTCTAGCAGCATCAGTAATGTTCAACAGCACTGTGAGAACAGATTAGAATTATTCTTATTTTGAGATGCCTTTGAAATATCTTTTCATCATTGTACAGTCCTTTCCATTTACTAACCCTTGAAGGGAGAGGTATCTTAGAATTAACAGCTGTAACCTATGTCAAAAACAAATTTATTGTTTTCTCAAGCCACTAGTCCAATAAAATAGTCTCTGCACCCAAACCTTTACTCCAATTTGGAGTAAATTAGTGTACCCATAGGGAGCAGGTGGGGCTGGAGTCCTTCACTAATGCTGCCAAGTGAGATACACTTTCAGAATACTAAAAATCAATCAATAAATAAATGACAGCCTTACAAGCATAGTTGTGTGGGAAAATCACTTTTGGCAGCTTCTGCATAAGAACTCAGGAATAAAGAAAAATGACTGTTGCATTTAAGCAGCACTTATTGATTCTGAAAATCAAATTATGCTTTAACTTCTGCAAGACTTTGTACTTTTTATTCTTTCTTCATCGCTCATGCAATAATGGAAGGTTTCACTGAAGTGAGTTTTTGACCAAGTTTTAGTGCTACATCCCAGTAAGGAAGCATTTAAAAAACGTTGGTTCTGCATTTCAGTCCCAAAAGTTTGTTCCAGTTTGAGGTCAATTTCAACAGCAGAGACTTGCTGTTGAGATCTGTCTGAACTCTTACCTTATTATTAATTACTTGTTGGAAAAACAGTAAGATGCTTGATACTTTACCAAAAACAGTGCTGTCAGCTGCCCTAGAGTACTTCTACATGAAGAATCTAGTAACGTCATTATTGTGCTGCTCAGCTCAATTTTTATAAATGGAGGAGAACAAAAATAAAATTCAACTTATTCCTACTACTGGATTTTTCAGTATATGCACTTTTCTCACTGTTGATCTTGTTAATTGTTATACGTTAAGACAGAAGTTGAGTTTTGATACAACTGCAAGTAAGTTGACAGTTTTTTGGTTCTTAACAGAATGATGTGGAGGAGGAAGTTAATTTGGACTTGCTTTCTGATCCTAATTCACTGAGAGCCTTGTTATCAATACAATGCTAAAGCAGATGGGAAGCTGACATTTGTGGAGTGACCTAAATGCAGAAATAAAGCCGTTTTTCTGGTCTTTGGTAGAGTCCTGCCTTTTGTAGTTTGGGAGAGATTGCCCCATTTTTTGCCAAGAATAACACATGGCTGCTTGACCACATGAGAAAGTGGAATGCAGTGAGACTGTAGTAGTTAAGATCAATGACTAACGTGTCTACTCATTGCATATATGGTAAGTTTCTATTGTTATGAATCCTCTTCTGCAAACAGTATTTCACAGTGAAATTTAGTGGCAATCGCTCAATAACATACATGGCATACTGACTGTAACTTTTACCAATCTGTTCCGTTATAGTGAAGTCCCAAGCATAATGGCAAAACACCATAGATTTCTGAGGACATTACACAAGTAAAGTAGTCATTAAAGCAGACATTCTGACTTTCAGTGTTGTATCAATAAAAGGTTGTGTTTCAGTAGATGAGCAGTCCCTGGAAACATTCTGTGCTAAACAATTTATTTCTGTTTAAATAGATATGACCTCTTACCTCCAGAGTCATTGGGGATATGCATATTTACTTAAAATTGAATACAGTCTTTTACACGTGTTTTGACAGGCTTTGCTCGTAATCTATCTGAAGGAAGCAATGCTAACTATACAGAATACGTGGCTACCAGATGGTACCGCTCACCTGAACTGTTGCTTGGGTAAGTACAGTTTGTAGAGCAACCATGATAAATCTTGACTGATACTTTGCATTTTGTCGAGCACCTTTTGTAAAATTTGCCAGTGGAGAACTGTAGTTGATTTAAAGGGAAGATTTCAAAAGACTTCCACATTGTCATCTTTGTCATTGTTCAGTGTCATTGTTCATTTCCAGTAGGTTGGCATGAATCATTGACACGCTCACCTGTCTTGAACTGAATGGTATTTAACTGACTGAAAGATAAAGCTACTACATCACAAACCTACTTCAGATGCTCCTCCCCCTGATGTTCCCTTCGAAAGATGTTTGTATGGTAGTCCTGTATGCTGAAGTGTTCATTTTGTTAGCCTCATGTTGGATATTGCATAGTATTGGCAGTGCAGCTTTCACCATGTTACACTCCTAGTTGTCTTTATCCTTTAAGTCAGAACTATGGTTTGGCTTTCATTCCCAGTTGCTCTTTCCCAGCACTGCTGAAATGGTAAGAGGAAGGGTACTAGCTTCTTAACTTTTTATAAGTACCACCTCTTAAGAACATGGGAGTGGGCAATTTGAAAGTTTTCGAAATCAAACAGGCAAAGCAGAGGGCTGGCATGGATGAGCAGGGATCATCTTCTAGAGCTTTGGTGGAAAAGGAAAATGTATGGACACCGGAAGCGAGGTCTGGTGACATGGGAGGACTACAAAGATGTTATTTCCCGTTGTAGAGACATAAGTCATGGCCAGAGCTCAATTAAAGTTGATGCTGGCCAAGGACTGTGGGGGACAATAAAAAGGGCTTTTTTAAAAATACATTAGCAACAAAAGGAGGACCAGAGAGAACACTGGTCTGTTACTTGATGAGGATGGTCACCTCATAAATAGGACTGTAGACAAAGCAGACATTTAATACCACCTTCTCCTCTGTCTTTAACACCAGTGATGGGCACTGGGACTCCCAGAGCCCTGAGTTGAAGGACCATGACTGCAGGAACAATAAACTCCATGCCTACTCCAAACTTGTGCAGGATTTGTTGCTTCAGCTGGATGCACAGAAGTCTGTAGGACCTGGTGGGGTTCATCCCAGGGTACTCAGAGAGCTGGCTGATGTCATCATGAGACCTCTCTGAATTATTTTTCAGTGGTTTTGGGAATCTGGAGAGGTCCCAGTCGACCAGAAGCTGGCAAATGTTGTCCCAGTTTTCAAGAAGGGCAAGAAAGAAGACCCTGGTAATTATAGGCCTGTCAGTCTCCCTTCAGTGCCTGGTAAAATTATGGAGAAGATTTTTCTGGGAGTTTTTGAAAATCACTTGAAAGACAGTGCAGTCGTTGGTCATAGCCAACACAGAGGGGAAGGTCCTGTTTAACATGATTTCTTTTTATGACAAGATTACCTACCTAGCTGACCAAGGGAAACCAGTTGATGGAATCTTTTTGGATTTCAGCAAAGCTTTCTGTACTGCTGCTCGCAGTATCCTTTACAAAATGTCCAGCTTGAAAAATACATAATACAGTATGAACAACTGGCTGACAGGCTAGGCTCAAAGGGTTGTAGTGAATAGGGTTACATTAGGCTGGCAGCCAGTCACTAGTGGGGTTCCGCAGGGCTTCGTTTTAGAGACATTTCTCTTGAATGTTTTTGCAAATGATCTGCATTCAGGATTCAAATGCATACTAAGTAAGTTTGCAGATTACACAAAAATGAGAGGAACTGTTCATTCTCTTGAGAGTAGAGAGGCTTGCAGAGAGATCTTGACAGCCTAGAGGGCTGGGCAGTCACCAGCTACATGGAATCTAATTAGCAAGTGCTTTGGTCTGCATCTGTGACGGGGCAACCCTGTCTGTATGGACAGACTGGGAAACGAGAGGCAGGGGAGCAGCCCTGTGAGATGGGAGACGGGGGTTCTGGTTGATAGCAAGTTGAATATGAGCCAACAGTGTGCCCTGGCAGCCAGAAGGGCCAACCGTACCCTGGGGGCATCAGGGACAGCATTGATAGCCCATCAAGGGAAGGGGTTGTCCTGCTGTGCTATGTGCTCGGGGTGTCGCCTCACCTCACCTCAAGTACTGTGTGCAGTTTTGGGCACCACAATATAAGGAAGACGTAAAACCATGAAAGTGTGTCGAAAGTAGGGACACAAAGATGGTGAAGGGTCTAGAGGGGAAGATAACATGAAGAGCAGCTCAAGTCAGTTGGTTGTCACGCTGGTGTTGGATGTGAAGGCTTCCCACCCGCGGCGTGACTTAGCGGATGAGTGCAGAGGCTTTCCAGCCGTCCTCACCCAGCCGTCTGCTCCCCTGAGCTCCCCCTCCACGTATCCCACTCCCACAGAAGCCACCTCAACCCCAGGGCTCAGCTGGCTGGGGCACGGCCCGCAGGCTGCTTCCCTGTCCACAGAAACTCCCAGCAGAGGATGCATCTGCCCTGGGCACAGGGCAGCATTTCAGGTCTTCCACACCATCCCTCAGTCTTGTCAAGATTTTTCTGTCTGCCACAGTATGAAAAGGACATCAAACTATCAGAGAGTGTCCAAAGGAGGGCTACAAAGATGGTGGGGGGTCTAGAAGGCAAGACATGAGGAGCGGCTGAGGTCCCTTGGTTTGCCCAGCCCCAAGCAGAGCAGGCTGAAGGGACGCCTCATGGCGGCCTGCAGCTCCCTCACAGGGGAGCGGAGGGGCAGGCGCTGAGCTCTGCTCTCTGGGGACAGCGACAGGACCCGAGGGAATGGCACGGAGCTGGGACAGGGGAGGGTCAGGCTGGGAAAGGCTCCCTTAGGGAAAGGCTCTGCACCCAGAGGGTGGTCGGGCACTGGAACAGGCTCCCCGTGGAACTGGTCACGGCACCAAGCCTGGCAGAGTTCAAGGAGCATTTGGACAATGCCCTCAGACGTAGAGTTTGATAAAAATCAATTCTTTTTTGTGACGCTGTGGGGATCCAGGAGTTGGACTTGATGATCCTTGTGGGTCTCTTCCATCTCAGGATGTTCTGTGATTCTATGATTTTTCAACTGGTCAGGAAGAATTTGTTGAAGCAGACTACATGAATCATTTTATTAAAGCATTGAGAAGTTAGTTTCATGTTGTTTGTGGAAGCAGTAGTTGCATGAGTCGCCTTATAATTTAATTTCACTCTTTTATTAATCTGTAAAATTAACATTTTACTACTTCACAATGTTTAACAGATTTTCAAATATTGCTTGGACAAATTCACAGGACCTAAAAGGGCAAAAGTAGTTGGAAATGTACTTCTTGTGGTCTTCCCATTGCTATCAAATTTACAGTGTGTTTTTCTATACTGCATGAACACTGATAAAATGCAGTTCCTGAATATATAACATATACATATAGGGATATTCTAGAAGTAAGGAATTGGCAGCCACAGGAGCAAACAGAAAGTACTGGTCACTTATATTCTTTAACCAAAACATTGCATGCTGCTGAAAAACAGATCTTTCTTGGAACCTTTAGTTAGCACTGAACCAAAGAACAGACATTTCTTGAATATGTAAAGCATTGGATAATAAATATTCTTTCAATAAAGTCATACCAGTATTCCCAGAGCTGTGCTAATCTTAATCAAATTGGTATGCAGTTGTGTTGTTATATGCAGAATAGTATGTTAAAGTTGCTGTTAAAAACCTCAAAGCTCAGGTTTTCATATTTTGGAGAAGACAGATGTAACTGAACTTCCAGCAAAGTGTGTACGTGTATACGTACGACATACTCTCACAACTTGGAAAGAAAGCATCAATCATGGACTTTTCAGTTTTACAGCACTTCACACTTTGTCTATAATCTTAATTAAGATTTAAGAGGAAAGACATGAAAAACTTGACAGACATGGTATTAGTATGACCTGCAGTTTTCAAAACTATTTGATTAACAAGGAAATTTATCAGGAATCATGTCTGCATGTAATTGACTAAACTTGATTAGCTTGTACAGGAAGGGGACTGGGGTATGTGTATGGTATGTGTATTCAGTGCGTATGACTTCAACTTTGCTGGTGTATGTTTTTAATGCCAAGTTTTTCTGGCTTAGCATGATGTCTTTTTCTTGGCAATCCTGTTCTTGTTTCGCAATCATCTTATCCATCCTCCCATTTTACCAAATCTTTATAAACATCTAATAGTGGAAAGTCTTTCCAACATTATTAAATATTTATATTTTACCTTTTTTTTTTTCAAGTTTTAATGTGTCCCAGAGAGGTTTCTCTTTTGTAATAAAGTTCAAATACTTAAATTTCCTGAGGAAAGAAAATGCTGCGTAGTTACTCACAGAACATCCAAAATCTGCTCACTTTGAAGAGCCTCGGGTAACCGTTAGTGGAGGGCTCTGTACTCCTGGATGACAAAACATTGCTAAAAGCTAGTGGATTTTAGCATAACATATTTCTAGATGATAATATGTTTTGGAGAGTCTAAGTTGTGCAGCAGTACGCTACAGTACTCCTGATTAGTAGTTATTAGGTGTAACTACTTCTATTAGAAGTAATAGGAGTTACTTCATTTCTCCAGCCACCTCATTCTTGCATTGCTCGCCTGTTGTGCTCTGGAAGATTGATTGTGCCAGTCAGTAGAACAGGAGTCTTGAATCTGACTTTCCAAATGAAATTGTTTGGTCTTACTCTGCCACTTCATAAGAAATTAGTGTTTTCTGTTTGACTACGGAGCAAATAATGGAAACTTCCTAAACAGTGATTCAGGTTACTGTATTTGTGTTAGCATGGAAAGGTAATGGCCCTGTCTAAAAGGAGTTTTAGCCCATTCCTCAGTTGAAACTCTAGCTCATTCTCCAAGGCCCTGGGCTACAGCAGCATACCTTTTTCTGACTTCAAATCTCGCTGTTCAGAAGTGTGCCTTTTAAAGGGTTGCAACTAAATAATAGCTTGTTTTACTGTCGTAAAAAGGTAGGATTTTTTAGTTAGACTCTCACAAACTGGTTTGCTAACAGATCCTCAGTTTATCCGTGGTCATTTCGTTGTCAGTGGTCTATTTCAATGGGGGCAAACTTTGAATTTGTGACAATTCCATTTGTCTGGGGACTGCAGTGTCTCATGGCAGATTCAGAAAGGCAAACAGTTCTTGAAATGTTGGTGTCCCGTTTCAGCCTTCCTGGCTACCTTCAACTCCTGCAGTACGCATCTCAGTGGGCCTGTGATTTCACCTAGGCTACTGTCCAGCTAGAAAAGCTCTCTTGCCTTAACCTAACTAAACTATCTCAAGGGTTACAGCGTCCTCTGATCAAGTGCCCTCCCCATGAAGTGAAGTAATTGATCGGGAGTGGTTGCAAGCAGGGAAAAGTCTGACTTTTCTTCTTTAATCTAAGGGTACACTCTCCATAAATACCTTTATCCATCAGCATAAGGAAGGAATAAAGGGAATAGATTTACGATAGGATTTATCAACTGCAACTCCAGAAACAGGCAAGCCAGCTGTAACTTGAAAATATCCTGAAACAGAGGTTGAGTCGTTGGATTGCAAGTTTCAGAAAGAAGAGAATCAATGAAGTATGTTTTCAGTTTAGTGTTTCTTCCTGTCTTTATTCTTGTTTATTCTTTTTATATGCTTTTTCTTTGACCTGAGAGGAATTCCCCCCCTCATTCTGCCCAAAACCTTGACATCCAAAAGAAATTCTTGGCATAAGTTGAGTGTTTACAAAACAGCTTAAATCCGTCAAGCAAGAACTTGGGCATACAGAAAATGAGGTGCTTCGGAGCACTAAAAGCCAAAAGCATGTAACGCATTAGCTGTTGCGTGATTGAGATGGGCTGCTAAAGAAGCTGACCAAGGAACAGAACCGTAGAGGGAGAATCAGAAACTGTCCAAAAAGATTCTGCTTCTTCAGCATTCGTTGCCATCAGTCTGCAGGTTGCAATAGTCCCTCACCCTCTCCTCCTCATACAAACATCTATTTTCTATATTACAATTTTCTGCCCTGTGTATCTTAAGTCTATCATTTTTCCTGACCATAGCATCCTTATTGCCCGTTCTTCCCTTAAATACCCCTGTATGTAGTCTCAAGAAAAGCTGTTGTAGCCCTTTCCAGTGTAATACGCACACCATTGAGCCTTGTTTCCAGCAAGCTCCCTCCACCTCTTCGTTCCTGACCTAGCTTCTTTTGTCAGTAGCTGTTTAAAATACAGGTGGGTGCCATCCACCCACCACACAACGTTGCCTGCACACAGAGACTGCCCCTCCGAATTTCTCTCCAAAGCCCCACCTGTGTGCTTGCTTCAGGGAATACTTATTTTGTGATGCTTTCATTTTGTCCTCATCTGTGGTTTTCAACTGTTGAGTAGTTTCAGAAATTGCTTCAGGGACATTCTGTTTTCTCTCTAGTTAAAATTTGACTGTATGAAGGCTGAAACAAAGATTGCTTATTGTTTCTGTCCTCGCAGTGACCAGATCCAGTGTGTCTATCAACCTGCTAAGCACAACAGAAAAGGCAATTTCTATAATGCAGAAATACTGTATGGTCATTAACCTCTGGATAAAAGGGAAATTCGTGTTAGTTTAACTTTGGTAACAGCATCTTGGTCAAAAAGATTATTCTTGTAAGCTTTTTATTTTTTACAAAGGTAACCAAATCCCTGGGGGTCCTTGAAAATTCCTGTCCTGTCTATTGACGTCAATATGTCAAGCGATCCAGTGCGGAAACAGAGGACTTGGTATATGAGATGGCTTCTTTAATGTTAAAGTTTATTTTTCTGAGCTGTAAGGAAGCAAGGCATGGAAAATACAGCCAATAAACTAAAACAGCTTAGTGAGAGGATGGTGCCAGTGGGTGAAAAACATTGTACTTTAACTTTACAGAGCCCCATATGGAAAGGCTGTGGATATGTGGTCTGTGGGCTGTATCCTGGGCGAGCTGAGTGACGGACAGCCCTTGTTCCCTGGGGAAAGCGAGATTGACCAGCTCTTCACCATTCAGAAGGTGCTAGGCCCACTGCCAGCCGAGCAGATGAAGCTCTTCTACAGCAACCCACGCTTCCATGGCTTGCGGGTAAGAGAAAGCTTTGTTCTTTTTTTTTCCTCTTATAATTTACTCACACAGTATTTACACTATTGTCATTGTTGCTGTAAAGGTTCTTTTCATTTAGAGTGTTATCTGCTGCATGTGTTTCTGTGCAAGTACAGGATATTTAGATCATGAGGCATTCATAATTCAAAGTCAAATTCCAATTATACCATTATTGAGTTGGACAAGTAAGTTAATTTTACTATTAAAAGCTGATTTAAAAAAAATAAAAATCTGTTTATTTGGCTTTTTTTGTCATGAAAGTTAGTATTGATACCTAACTTAGCATTGCTGTGCAAGCTGTGCACTATGAAGTTTAATGGCACGGCTGTCTGTTCAGGATGTGGACAAATTGTGACCGTTTTCTTAAGGCTACTGTGATGGCGAAATTTGGGTCATGGATACTGCTGTGATGATAGGGGAGCTTTTTACCTTTTTACTTGTATTTCTGGAGATTTGATATAAGCTGCATGAGTCAGAAAGCTTGTTGTTCCCCTTTCAGGGGCTCGCCAATGCCATGTATTGACAAAGACTCAATAGAATAGAGAAACTGCTCAAGTTGGAACACACAGTGTGGCAAAACTCCAGATGAAATATATGATAAATAGCTCTGTTACCTTTAATAGCACCTGGTCAGTGGTTGTGCTTGCTTTTTCTTGAAATGCAGTGGGTTTTTTTGTTTGTTTGTTTGTTGTCGTCATTGTTTCCAGTAGTGAATGTTGCTTAGGTGAAATTATGATCTTGATGAATGGTATGAAATTGTTAATATAAAATCCTATAAAGACATGCTAAGGTTTTAGGAGACCTGGTCTGTGCTAAAGACTGAAGATCTGCGTTTTAGTCTGTCAAAGAGAAAACAGTGAATGAGAAATGGAAAGAGGGGCACCTAACTGTCTTAAAATGTGTTAAAGTTTGCTATAAATTCAGCTTAGCTGATAATGATAGGAAGATTAGTACTTGGCTTAAGATGTAAGGTTAGTTATTTTAGCTAGAAGGATAGCCAGTTCCTAAGAATTTTTGATGAAGCTGGCAGGCCCTATGTCAGAAGTTTTTATAGGACCTTGCAAGAAATGCTTGTTCTTTATGTATTTGATCCTGTTTAGAGCCGGGCTGGACAGGATTTTCTCTTTGAAAAATATTATACCCCTTATCAGGAAAGCTTTAAAAACTGTAAGCAAAATAAATAATTATATCTTAAATATTATTTATTATATTATAGCTGTGTAGTGTAATCTTATTTGGATAAATGCTTTGCAGTGTCTTAGGATGCAAATGAAGTATCTTTGTTTTGTAGCTTTAAAATACAGTGATTCAAGGAGACATCATGGACCTAACGTAATTAGCACAGGGTTGAGAGTCATGAGTCCCTGTTCTCATCCTGGATCAATGGTTTATTGCTCGGCCTCAGCCATGTTGCTGCCTGTTTATCCTCATCTCTGAAGTCATACAATTGATAACAACACTGACATATGCCTTGTAATAGAAACTAGTTGTAGAATACTGAAGTGAAGCCTGTAAAATGGCTTAAACATGAAAAATACTAAAAAATGTTGGTTTGGAATATGATATCCATCAGTTAACGGGGAAAAAATTATTCCATGCTATAAGACAACATTAAAAGTACAGATTTTTTTTTGAATAGTAGTGCTTTTAATGGTGGAAGATTTTCTGTTACATAGCAGACAAGATATGCTGTGCTCATGCAAATTGTTGTGCTGTGATTATGAAAATTGTTATTTACAAGCTGGATTTGGCACTGGCTGTTCACAAGTTAGAAACTAGCCCTTGAAGTAGAAATGTTTATCCATATGATTATCACTAGGCTTTGTGAATCTCTACCGTAAGTACTACCCTATTGTAGCACACAATTAAAAAAAAAAAAATCTAATTCAAATATTACAGCAACACATGTGCATTTATACAGATGCACATTTGCATACTTCATGTTTTCTTCCTGCTTGTTTCCTCCACACACACACACACACACACACACAGAGTTTTTGTCAGTCCTGAAGATTAGGGAGTACTTAGTGATCTCTCTTCCGTCCTTTTGAGAAAGCAAATATCCACGGTATGTTGAAGACCCAAGACAATACAGGATCAGAAAGTACTAATAGGTTCATGCCTTTATGGAAACATGAATGCTAATGTAGGGCTTTAATATTATTCTATAGATTAATTATAAATAAGCTGGAGAATCTGAGCAAACACAGTGAATAGCAATTGCATATTACAGCTTTGCATTTCTTTGGCACGTTTTCATGTTTCCCTAACCATTCCAAATGTAAAATCTGATTTAGAATGGTCATTCTTCATGAAGACAAGAATATTTTGTCCTCTTGGATAGACTGAGGAAGAGCTTGATAAGAAAGAGGAAGTGTGTTTGTTCAGAAGAATATTCCACTTAAAACAAGTTAGTGTCTGCTGAAAATCTGTTTGCTTTGTGTAAACAGTAGTGGAAGTAGGAAAGGCTTGGTCCATCTAGGGTGCTATCTAAGATCAACGTAGCCTTGGACTTAAATAACTAAAGAAATCCTTAATCATTAGGAAACCACTTTAAAAGAAAGCAAAGTAAAATGAAAAATGCAGAGACTATTTAGGAACACACATTCAAATAATGTTCTTTCATTTTCCTTCAAAGCTCACATAATGTCATTTATGAAAAGTAATGCCAGTACAAACAGTGGATTGCAATTCATAGTGACATAACACTTACACACATGCAGTTTGTGTGCAATCCATTCAGCTTCCATATAAATACCTTTTTGGAAAGGGAGGGTTGTACTGCTGGATTACTCTTGAAAGCATAGATTTGGAGGTAGCATTTACTCTGAGGGGAGGTATGTAGGTAAATGTATGCACCTGTATATATATATATATATATAGCTGTAACAATCTCTAGATGTGAGAGTTAAAAAATGCACAAGTGAAAGTGAAGATATGAAAGTCTTTAAGACTTCTTGCTTGTTGACAGACCAAACATTTAGTTTGCATATGTGTTTATACTATAGAAAACACGTTCGTTTATTTTCATATTTGTTGGGTTATTTTGTTGCTGTCTTAATCACTGACGTGAATTTTGTTGTTACCTTCTATTTTCAGCGGTGTTAAGTATAACTCAGTATTTTATGTGGGTGTATTTTATGTATGGCTTGAGCCCGTTGGGACATACAGTGATGGCTTTTTATGCATCAGGTATGTGATTGCCAGAAGACAAGACCAGCTCATGTTCCCTGTTGTCAGTACTCTTGCTATGATGCGTTAAGAGGGCTATTTAGAAAACACACAGTTAAGATGTGGATGGGATCAAGCCAGGCTGCAACTGAAGCACTTTTGCATACTATTAGGCAAATGCCACAACTCTGGGAACTGCTAACGAAGTGTCTGGATCTCAGCTGCGTTGTTTTGGATAAACTGTGATTAATGCCAATCAGCTGGCTGGCTGTTGTTTTGTTTCGTTTCATTTTTCCAGAGGCTTCTCTGGCATTCAAATGTGCAGTTTACTCTAAAATTCAGCCTAAGTTGGATCCAGGAGGATTTTTTAATGCCTATCTTGGATATCCAGCTTTAATTTCTAATTCTGAAAACACTGGAATATATGTGCTTAGCATTTAAATTGGAAGTTACTTCACAGAAAGGAGTTTACCTATTTGTTTGGTGTCAGTTCAGTGCATGCCATAGTCTGGAATTGGATCTCTGGTGTCTGTTTCTTTTCAATTCATTGTACTTGACATTATGTTATAGCACACAAATATTGAGCGGATTTTCTTCCATTTGATTAAAAAGAAGAAAAGATTGTTTTTATTTCATTTAACTAGTGCCTTGTTTACAAGGCAAACAAACAACCCAAAAACATAATCAATCAATTCTATGTTTTTGTTTTTGTTTTCTTCCTTGAATCTTTCCTGCCTGTGTTGTTCTTTCCAGACAGTTAGGACTAGTTTCAAATACTTCCTTCATCTGGTTTTGTCAAGACTGTAGCTGACAAAAGATGCCCTCCAGCAGTGTGTACTACTTCCCATGATGTTGCCGGTTCTTACTGCTGCATGATCACAGGAATAATCCTGAACCTTAAACTTCTATAGTTGCCGTTCTGGTTTTGTGATGTTTTCCACTTAAAAAGCATTTGCAGAATTGTCTCTTAATCTTTGATATTTAATTAGTACTGTATTTGTGCAAAAATAATTTTTCTTGAAACTATTTTAAATTATTTGGGAGGGGTATATTAATTATGTTATTTCTGAATCTATTTTAAACCACCCACCTCATGTCAGTCATTGTGCCACGAGCACATTTATAGATCTAAGTTGATGACTTCTTGTTTCAGAATGGTTCCTTGAGTGCCCTACTAATCAAGAATGCTTTCTTTGGTTAACTAGATGCATATTGTACATTAGCAGTTATTTGTTTCATCGTAATGTTTTGTAACGTTTCAGAAACCTGTAACTTCTTCAATGCATATGGTTTCCATTAAGTTACGTGTTTTTATTCACTGAGGAGGTTTTTTCAAATGTTGTGTTCATGTATACCTTGTTTACATTCTCAGTATATTTATGCTGTATTACTTTTACAGTTTCCTGCAGTCAATCATCCGCAGTCTTTAGAGAGAAGATACTTGGGCATTTTAAGTGGTGTATTGCTTGATCTTATGAAGGTAGGCAAATGTATTTATTTTCTGTCTGTAGTATATAGGCAAATATGTTAGTGAATTTTTAACTTTGTTTCCTATAGAGTACATCTTACAAATACTTGTGAACTTCCTTTTGAGATATTTTGATGTCACCGTGGTTTATAGGAAGGCTTGATATTTCTTAGGAATCAGGAAAATATCTTCTGCAAATGCCAGGAGAGTCTGTTCAAATTTGATTGATTTGATAAGCAATACATACTCCAGACAAAAGAACCACCATCATTTGTGGCAATGTGCATTCACAGTGACAACCATTCAGATTCACAGGTTATGTTAGTAATGCTGGTGGGTGAGTTCTCAACCTGTAATAAATTTAGATAAATCCGCAGTGAAAGAGGATTAGGCTTACCTGAGTTGTTGTTCATTTGTTAATGGATAAGCATGAGGACATGGACAGTTGTTAAAGATAAACTTCATGCGTGGTAAACTTTTTTTTTTTTTTTAACCTGTCTGAGGCCTTAATTTGCTTGCTACCACTCACATCTTCACAGCATGTGTGTTAGGTTGCTCTTCAGACCTGTTTTGTAACAACTCAGTTCCCCATGACTCAACTAGGATACAGTTTCTTGCCAGCTATCAGGGGAAGCTGGATTTCCTCAAAATGGCCAAACATTGTAAAACATTCTGCTATACGTTTCTGCCATATTTCTGGGTACGCAGCGCATACCCACATTGTTGTACTGCAAGAACTTCACAATGGTAAGCTGCAGTACAACCCTCCCATTATTTCAGTCACAGTAAGGTGAAAGAGTGAGCCATAGTGACAAAAATTAAGCGTAGAATCAGTTTTCTGTTTTCTAGTTCACATAAACCCTTTTTTTCCTGGCATCATATTAGCTGTAACTCAAGCTCTAGTAACGTATATCACAGAACAACAAATTCAAGATGATTTTTCAGACTGTTGCTACACATGCTGGGGGTTGCTTTTATTTTCATTTTATCCTATTTGTTATATGTTATATTCCAATGTCTTTTGTGTTCTTTTGATAAAAGTTGCAAAATGAAGTATTGAATATTAAGGAAGCATAGAATTACAAGGAATTCCATTCCATTATGATTTAAGAAATTCCTTTCATCTTTCCTCTTCATATTTCTCTGTACAAGGTGAGAAAGGCCAGGCATCTCCTAGAGGGACTATTTCGTGTTCAACCCACAGTACTTAGTTCAGAAGCTGGAGCATTGTTAACGAATGAGCAAAAGATAACAACAAGAGAACAGAAGAAACCTGTGGTTAAGTTGCATGCTGTAAATGCTCTACATATTTTCCTGTATGCCTTCTTTTCTCCAGACATTGGGCAGTCTGGCACATGTCCACAGTTGGTGTGTTCCTCATTATCTGCATTCCCAGGGACCTCAGGTCTGATTGCTAGATTACTGAATAACCCACACTCCAACTTAAGTCAGCTAAAGCTGACATATGTATCTCTGTTTACAGAGCATTTCTGGACTAGGTGAATGAAGAGTCATCCATTTGATGCTGTTGCTTTGCTGTTTCTCTCCTCCCCTCTCCTTCACAAATCATGGTGTTCTGCAAGCACAGGTTTGGGAATTGGAAGCTGGTTTTGCATATGCTGACTTGGGCAAAAAAAAGAAGTTGAATTATCTTGTGCTTCTTCATATTATCTGTCATTCAGTTGTCTCCCTCATCCATCAGCAGACTTTTTTTTTTTTTTCTGAGCTTCCATTTGCTGCTGAGATCCTGTAAAATCAAGAGATTCTACTTGATGTTTCTTACTTGATTTATCTATAGCTAGACTTTGGCATTCCTAATGTCATCCTCTGTGCCAAAGCAGTGTTTTTGTATTCCTCCTTTGTATCCTGTCCTTGGCCTTCTACTTCTTATATATGCCTATTTTGCGTTTTTGTTCTTCAAGCAGCTCCCCATTTAGCCAAGCTGACCTTGTGTGAAATTTTGTGGTCTTCCACACAATGAGATGCTTTGTTCCTGCACTCTCAGGAAGTTTTCTTTGAAAATCAAGTGGCTCTCCTAGATGCTTTTCTTCTAATAGCAGTTTTTCAGGTTATTCTGTCCAGGAATCCCCTACAGAATCTGAAGTCTGTGATCCTTTATTTGCATCCTAACCATAAACATCTCAGGGTTGCTACATCTCTGACTATCTTCTCTGACCAGTACTTTACCATTAGTGAACAGCAGGTCAGGTAAAGTGGAGTCCAACCCCTGGTTGTTTTGCCTCTCTAGCAGCTGGATTAGGAAATTGCCACAAACATAGTCTAGAAATCTCCTGGACCATCTACGCAGGCTGCATGTCTGGGTAGCTGAAGTCTGCCATGAGGATGAGGACATGTAATCAGTAGATTTCTGCTTGTTGTAGGAAGAGTCGTTTTAGATGTGTAGTTGGTAGCACGCCCCCACCATAACATCATAAATGTTGGCTTTCCCTTCTAATCCCAACCCGGAGATACAATGGATATACCTTCCTTTTCATGCTGGCACTTTGTACAGTTCAGGCACTTGTTTATATGGAGTGCCACTCCTCTTCCTCCCCACCTCCCTGCTTCTGAAGCCAGCCATACCCACCAGTGACCATGCCCCTGCCATCAGCCCTGTCCCTGTGACTCCTCTGTGATTCCAGTCAGGTTCACAGCCTTACGATTGCCCATGGACTTCCAGTACTCCTTGCTTGTGGTCCAGCCTTTGCAAGAGGCAAACAGCCTCTCTTCTGACAAGGAATGTACAAGTCACATTTGTGTGGGCCAATTCTATCACTGTAGTGATAAGCACCAGAAATAAAGGAGGGAAAGAAAAAATCACTCAGTACAAAGTTTTTCACTTGAGAAAGGCAGATGCTGCATGCTGTGTGACTGAACTACACCTGAAATGCTGAACACTTGCTTTGTTTTTTGAGCATTTTCCATTTCGAAGCTGCAGGGATCCTGTGAAGGGAAAACTATTGTGTGGTCAAGTGGCTGAATACTATGCTAATGTGTATACCGATATGCGTTTGGTGCGTGTATGTGTATCCTTCTGCATATATACACATACTGTTGTTCTCTAGTGAACCTATATAACGCCTAAAAATACCAGTTCTTTTTAATAGCCATTCAAACTTTTATCCTTGCTGACAGACATGCATGTTGAAGTATTCCAAGGTATGTTAAGTATGGCCCTATTCCTGCAAAGAACCTTTCAAAGTTATCAAAAATAATCAACCAAATGTTATTTGGTTTTGTGATTAAATGTTCTCTACATGTCAGAAGGTCTCTTTGTTCAGAAACAGCAGATCTTACAGAATTCTAAGGCAAATGTTATTCTGAGTACATTGTAAGCAGTTTAAATGATTCTTTAAAAATATGTGGGGTCTTGAACTGTTACCGAAGTTAAAAAAAAAAAAAAAAAAAAAAAACTCTTATATTTGTATATTTTAAAAAATGCTTACTTTAAAGGAGTTTTTTTATATGTCATATACGAGATATAAAGATGGTTCCTATATGTTTGTTCTGTTTTTTTTGTAAAGCCTGTCTCGTAGCATTATATTACTGGTAAATTTAGTATTTTTCATTCTAAGCAACAATGTTGTAAAGCATATCCAGAAAAGTATGCTTAAAATCAGTGTATTTTGAAAATCTGTAGGCATTTATAGATAAAACATACATATTTTTACGTTTGCCTATTTTTGTATTAAACATTTTAAGCACAAATATAGAAGTTTATAAGTATGCTTACATATATCCATTATGTACATATGTACATATATTATGCACATGTAGAATATATATAGCATATATATACATCATAATAAGTATATCCAATGCCTTCCATCCCTTAAGCAGAGCATAATATTTTTGAAACTGTTCATTTTGTATCATGTGTATTATAATTAATATATTCTGGCATTTGCATCTAATCACAGATACAGAGATTAAAAAACTATCACAGTGTTGTTCTTTATTTTGTTACAATTTTGCTGATACAAATACAGATATTAACACATACACTTTGGGATTTGTTTTCCAAAGAACTTACTGAAGTTAGATCCAGCAGACAGATACTTGACAGAACAATGCTTGAACCATCCGTCGTTTCAAACACAAAGACTCTTGGATCGCTGTGGAAGCTCACCGTCACGGTCAGCTAAGAGAAAACCTTACCATGTAGACAGCAACACGTTATCTAACAGGTAAATGTAGTTATGTGACCCTCATTACTGATATTTTCTGTGCCAGTGAATAAGTTGCTATCATGCATATATGGAATATCATCTTTGAGAGAACTAGTTTTTTGACAGTTCAGACACACTGCTCCTTGTTGCTTCACTGAATAAATAAGGTAGACATAGTTTTATTGTATTCTAGCTATTCAAGCTGAATATTTTGGTTAACTTTTTGCATCAGGCTTAATGCTTCTTGTAAAACAACAACAAAACACATTAAAGCCTTTTCTGACATGACAATGGTAAAATAAGTTGGCTTGTTATCCATCTTAAAAAAAAAGTTAGCTTCCTTCCTGAACAACAGTGGGGAATCTGTGATTTGGAGGTGGTCCTGAAATTCCGAAGGAGTGCTTTTCTATTTGGAATGCTGCCTTTACTGTACCTGTGGAAATCTGTCCACAGTTATGATATTTGAAGTTCAAAATTCACCAAAAAGAAATATGTTTGCATTGATCATGCTCCAAATTGGGAATAAACAGAATTTTGTTTGCAATTGCAGTTATGAATTCAGTCTAGTCTACTTCAACTTTAAGCAGGGTGTATTTGCTCAGTGACTCCCCTGTTGAACCCATGTAGCTTGAGAGAGAAGCTACTTGATTTTAATACATTAACAAGACAGGTTTACGTGTGGATGAAATACTTCAGTACAAAGAATCTCACCGTATTCTTTGAACAAAAGCTTTCCTAAAGGTCACCCTCTGAAGTATGCAGAGCTACAGTGGCTTTTAATCGTAGCCATGTTTTTCTTTAGTTCTTCCTGTTACATTAAATATATATATTCCTCATTTTAAGATTTTGGACAATTATGTTTACAACCTGTACTTTTTCTGAAACAAATACCAAAAAACTTCAGCTGCTATTGTACATATTTAGGATAGAAGTTGTACCCTTAGAGCTATGGCATCAAAAAAGAAAAGGTAGGTCCGTGGACAACTTCATGTAATATGAAGGCTTACCTACCTGCTTGATTTAAAATTACTAGGTTCCTTACACTGTTAGGTTTTAAATCTCTATACACTTCTAACTTAAAAAAAATTAGCCACAGCACTGCTCAGTCATGGCTGCACTGTTTTGCAGGGCCATCGTAGGTCCAGAAGCAGAACTGTTTTTTGTTTGTTTGTTTTGTTTTGTTTTTGTGGTTTTCTTTTTTTCTGAAAATCTGAATTGTGCAAAAGTCAGGGTTCCTGTGGTAGACCAGGTTTGAGGTTTGGTGTTACAGGGCTTGCTTGGCTGCACAGACCTGAGGCTCAATCCATCTCGATGTCTTTACCAGCTCAACATCCTCTGTTCTCCCTGCTGCATCCACCCACCTCGGACAGACATTATTAGCCTGGAGCATTGATTGGATAGGACTTTTTGGCAGTGCTGACATGCTTGATTGTTCCACTTTAACTCTGATATGCCAGATGTGTTTAAGACTTCATTTTCAGTGGATACACAGCTGATTTTCATAATGTACTGCTTATAGTAGTGATTACACACACGTTACTCACAGACATGTACTGGATTTTATATCTTTTCTTTTTTCTGTGTTAGCATAATCCTTTAACCAAAACTGTGTTTGTCTGTTAGGATATAACCAGTAAAAAACAACAATGTACTAACATTTGCAAACTTGTTACTCTAGTGGAGCTTCTGATGCCTACTTCACAGTTGTTCATTTTGCTGCAGATAAATGTCACAGTTTTAAATGGCAGCTCCCTTCTGAAATGATTATGATTTTGTTGAAGTTATTAATGTATGAATGTGTAGTCTGGTATATTAACGTTTCTTTATGCATTTTAATGTAGAAATCAAGCCAGCAAAAGTTCTGCTTTGCAGTCACACCACAGATCAAACAGCAAGGACATACAGACACTAGGGATTGGCGGCCCAAGAGAAGAGGGTCTTCCAGCAAATGAAAGCTTTTTAAATGGCAACCTTTCTGGAGCTGCACACAGCCCAATGCATACAAAGAAATCGAGCAACCAGCCTGGATCGGGTAACAAAGACCTAGCCAATAACAACATGCCACATCTTCTTAGCCCAAAGGAAACAAAGGCCAAAACAGAATTTGACTTTAACGTGGACCCCAAAAGTTCTGATGGTCCAGGCACAAAGTACCTGAAGTCGAACACCAGATCTCAGCAGAACCGGCACTCGTTTATGGAAACTTCTCAAAGCAAAACCGGGACGCTGCAGCCCGGTGATAAGCATAGTCGCCACAGCTACATTGATACTATTCCACAGTCTTCTAAGAGTCCTTCGTATCGGACAAAGTCAAAGAGCCACTGGGGTTCTGACAGACTCGAAATCCGTGGGCAACCTGTCTGAGGCCAGGGCTCAGGCTGCAGAACCGAACAGCAGTCGCTATTTTCCATCCAGCTGCATGGACTTGAACTCCCCCACCAGTCCGACCGCTCCCCGACACGGTGATAACAGAACTTTGCTCAGCCCATCCGCCAGGAATAACCGCAGCGAGGGTACCCTGGACACCCGAAGACCGTCGACCAGGCACTCCAAAACAATGGAGGAGTTAAAACTGCCAGATCATATGGATGGAAGCCATTCCCACTCGCTCTCTGCTCCGCATGAATCTTTTTCCTATGGTCTAGGTTATACCAGCCCTTTTTCTTCACAGCAGCGCCCTCATAGACACTCGATGTATGTGAGCCGGGACAGAGTGAGGTCAAAGGGCTCAGAGGGTGGCTTAAACATAGGGCAAGGGATGGCAGCCAGAGCAAACAGCCTGCAACTGTTATCTCCACAGGTGCAGCATAAGTCACTCACAAGGTCTGTTGGCTCCTCACGAGAAGACTGTACAGAAGATACTAATAGGGTTAGTTCAAAATATCACCTGTTACGGAAGACTTACCTTCCTCGTCTTATTTTGTGTGGGAACAGTGTCCTGCTTTCTCTCTTCTATTTATTTGTTTCCATAGTTAGTTATTCATTCGTGGTGTTGTAAGACAAAGAATGTTAGGTGTTGGTTTTCTTTTTAAAGAAGGTTAAATATTTGGAGTGCAAAATGAGAGACCACGTTAAAAACAGTAATTGGACTGTGAATACTGTTCTTTCAAGGTACTGAAATGTGAGAACAGAGAAACTGTGAAGTTAAAATTTAATTAGTTCATAGTCTGTTACGTTCTCTGTCATTTTTATCGTATTATTTTTGCTTAATTAACCTTCCCATTTTTGTTTTTATTTAGCTTTTCTTGTATGTCTTTCTGTTGTGAATTCTAATCTTAATTTTTGAAGTGAGCTTTTTCACTTGCTTAATAGCATGACGTTATTGATGAAATGGCGTAATGTACCAGAGGGATATCAAAACCTGCAGTATTTCTCCTGATTAGTATGATAAATAACTGAGGTATTTGATGTTGGAGAAGCCACCAGTAAATTGGAGTAAACTGACTCCCTAGCAGCTATATAATGATTACTGTCAATAGTTACCTTACCTTGTTATGTTATTTCATTAGTCTAGAGGAAGGGCCAGTTCTCGTGTTGATTTACTTCCCTTATATAATACATAGGAATTATGTAATGTCTTACACAAGATGACTGTCCCCAGATCCTTAAATTGCTCTTACCATTGATCCAACATTGGAGCAAAATGGTGTGGAGAGAAGTACATAGAACAACTATTTGTTTTTTAATACACATTTGTGTAATAAAGTGACTTCAAGGGAGAGAAATTCTTGTTCAGATTTGTCGACAAATTGAAGGAAGTCAAAGAGCTACAAATATTATTGAAGGTCTAGAAATATGCTTTACTTTAAGAGACTAAACAAACCTCTGCCTACTATGTAAGAAATATGCGTAGTGGACTTAATGTAGTCTGCAAGTAGCACAGCACATAAAAAGTTTTCATGTACTGGGTGGCTCTTCAGTAAGAAAAAAAAAACATAAAACATTTCTTCTTTTAGTATTTATTTATTTAAAAGCACATTAAATAATTATACCATAATTAAAATACATTATTTTTGTACTTACCACATCTTCTCCATTCAGGATTATGTGTATTCATTATAAGGAGAGAAGAAAAATCTCATGAGGAGAAATACAATCTAATTTAAAGAACAATAGCTACTTAGAGAGGATTACAGCTCCATTTCAAAATGAGATTTTATTTTTTCTTTGTGTAATCATTTTGTTCTCTCTCCTATTTCAGTTATAAGTTACACATAAGTTAAATTCTTATTCTTCAAGATATTACTGTAGGAGGGCAGTAAAACCAATATTTGACTTTCTGATAAAAGCTCATGCTGCCTTGTATTCTTCAGAGTATCAGCATCTTTTTCTGAATTATGTAGTGGATATTAAATTGATAAATAACTTTAATTTTATTTCATATTATAGATCATTCTTTGTCTTTTGACAGCTGGTTGACAAACTTTTATTTTGATAAGAAAAATCAATGTACATCCTAATACTTATGGTTTTGTTCATTTTGGTTTACTTTGCAATGCCTAATCATTTGTAAAGAATTCACCTTTATCTTTTATGGTCAGTGTTTGTAATCTGAAGCCTTTAATTCATTGTTTTAAATTGGTATTTCAACCAGCAGAAGTCTGAAAGGAAAAATACTCTTCTGAAATGTATGGCAAGTCTGTAAATTCTTACCTATATTTTTTCATTTGAGTAGTTTGAATAACAAATCAGAATTAAATTAACAATATTCATATGCCTTATGAAGGAATTTACACAAAAGTCATTCTTTGATTTTTTTTTTTTTTTTTTTTGCCACAATCTGTATTACAAATGAAAAAAATTCTCTTCCTTCAGCCTTAGTGAACTTAAAAATTCAGGAATAATATAAATGCTCTCAAATAATCTCTATTATTTTCCTGTTAAATTTTTCCATTCAGTTCTTCTGGTTCTCTCCACTACTGTTCTCTATCTCTGTGCTCACATTTTGTGACGTTTCTGTACTTCCCTGTTTCTGGTTTCTCTTTAGCCATCACTAGGTCATTTTAAAGAAAAGCATTCTTTGTTTGCCAGGTTTTAAATCTTCCTTTAAAAAAGAAAAAAAAAAAAAAAGACTTACATTCTGTGTTAGGTTGGGTGCTTTTCAAGTCTAAATTACAACACTGTTAATTTAAGGGCTCTTTTATTTTTAAGCTAAATTTATACAAAAGGAGGTAAGCAAAAGAAATCAAGTGCAAGTTGCTATTACTGTCTGATATTTATAACTTCACTGCTGCCAAACAAGAGGTATCTTACAGATAACTTAATCTGAAAAAGAGGTAACTTAATCAAATCTATGAACCTCTTGCAAATTAAAAAAAATAAATAAATCTCTGATTTTAAAGCATTTCTTTAGTTGCATTTCTCATCTTGACAAAGTTTCAAGGGCTGTTTTGTTTTTGACAGTGAGACCAGATCTTTATTAATGAAAAGCGAAATAGATTTTGCAGATCACTCATGCTGAATTGAAATTCCAGTTTTTAATTCTGGTTTGTCATCTTCTTAGGTCTCATCCTTCTCGTTCTAGATTTAAATTCATACAGGGGTCTCAGTACAGTTTCCTGTGAGGTCTTAGAATATTGAATTTTATCTGGTTCCTTCTGCAGAAAGAATTGCAGCACTTGGTTCATTTAAGAACTGTGTTAAGTTATATTTGGTTGCAAATTCCATGCATATGAATGTAGCTGAGGGTGTACTTAAATTTTTATTAAAGTACCTTCCAGGAAGCATTTTCTTCAGGAAAACAGTCTAATTTAGAAATGATGAAACTCTTTTTGTTAGGTCTGACTTACCTATTCAGTTTATAAATCTCTTAGTTCCGGGACTACCTCTTATTTTGTGTACAGTAGACTTTGTGACTGTTGGTACCTCTAGGTACTACTGTATATCAGCTGATAAGAGATAGTGCTTTGGTGTTGCAATAATCACAAATTACATGCATGTCCTGTTTACTGTTTAAAATTTGCCATTAGCAGAGTGACCAGATTCCATCAGAAACAAATTTAACAAGACCTCCAGTAAAAGATTCCTCCAGAGATGTTACAGCTGCATTTCATTCACGGCGAAAATCTGAGGTCCGCATCATGCTAAAGTATTTAAAATTACAATTAAGAGGCAAAATTTGTTAATGCCATTTTTGTCATTTTGGAAAAAATGAACAAACAGCTAAAACAAATAATTACTGATTACGGGGTCTGTGATTTGAGGCTGGCAGTTATTAATGACATGAAAGGGAAATTGTGTGTAGTGAAGTTGAGAGTTTATTGCTGACTATGTTGGTTAAAGCCACTACAAATCACTTTATAGTCTTTCATTTTAAATAGTTGACTGTTCTTTTGTTTAGGGTGGAGCGTATCATGATCCACACACAGAAGATGGAGCATCTACTAAGGAAAATAGAATTCTGTATAATGACCCTGTTCCAAGAAGAGTTGGCAGCTTTTACAGAGGTAATTTTATGGTGCATCTTTAAAATTTAAACAAGAATTTTAACGTGGAATATAAATGAGGTAGTGAAAAAGCGTACAGGGAACTAATGTGAACAACAAAAAAAAAATTGGAAAAAGAGTTTTTACTACATTTTCAGATACTAGGTTGACCTGTAAAGTTGTATGTAGTAATTGTATTTGTATTCTACTTTTGCAAAAAGTATTTCTTATTGGAACTTTTTTATATAGTTCCTTATATACCAGAAGATAATCTATTAGAGAAAGTTAAACAAAATAAATGAAAATTATCAGATAAATAGTTTATTAATGTTTCTAAACATTTCCTATTTTAAATTCTTACTAATACTAAATCTAAAAACATTTTTACTTGTGACACCCCTATATTCTTATCTTTCCCCCATGTTTACTAAAGTTCAGGGTTTCCTACAAGTAATATCCCAGGATATATATAGTAATATCCTAATATAATCCCAGGAATGTGTGCGCGCGTGTGTGTACATATATATATATGTATGTGTGCATATGCTTATATACGTATACACAAATAGATACTGTTTTAGTATGGTACAGAAGACATGGTAATTTGTGAGCAGATGTCTCATGGCTAAACCTGGGTAATCCTTTTGAAAAGGACAAGGATGATAAGCTAATTACTGTTCCACAAGTGCTAGGAAGCTTGTGGGGTTCCCCTGAACCTTAAGAAGTCACAATCAGCTAAAATTCGATTACGAGTCACCTAATAACCTTAAGTAGAGTCACCAATCTCCCTCTGATCCTCTTCAAGTTGATCAGTTGGCTGATGACCTGATTTAGACATGTTCAAATCTGCCATCCCTCGCAGGTGTCCCTTTGCAATATGCAAGCTTTAACATTGCACTAAAGTTTTAAGTGTTGGAGCAATGCTGTTGAGTTTAAAATTTTACAGTGTAACAGAGAATCCTTGAAGAATCCTTAATCCTGAATTGCTTTTATTAATCTTTAAAACACTCTTAAAACACTGGCCACTGTGAAAGAGAGGCACCAAGAAAGAATGACCTTCCATAACTCATGTGCTAATGAAACTGTAGGTCTGGGGCTGTATTCAGTACTTTATTATAAATTAGAGGTTTCTTCCTCTTTAACTACATCTATGAAACAACTTGATTTTAGTTCAAAGACTTAATACCACTTTTACAATGAAATAATTATATTCAAGTAATAAATTAATAATAGTATATGTAAAAGCTGTTGAAAGAAAAAGTTGCCATGAAAAAGCAAATTCATATATATTCAGTTCTTAAGTATTGACTTCACACGGATGTTATTGGCATGTGCTTTTGTACTAAAGCTTGAAAAAAACTTCCCAATTCAATTTTGATTGATAGTCTAGTGTGATCCTGAAATAATGCTGCAGCTAGTGTCTGATGAATTTTTAATCCACTGCATATATTTCTGGTGATACTCGTACTTCTGATAACGTATTGTATTTAGGTGTGTAGAATCTATTTTGAAAATACAGTATGATTCTTTTGAAAACATACAGTATCTGATTTTGATCCTTTTATTTTTAATGAGTAATTCATTACTCTTAGTTACATCAAAACCCAGTAATTTTTTTCAGGGTGGGTATTAGCCTTATTTTTTTTTTTTTTAATTAAGTCCTGAGTGAAGATGAATTGTAAACTGTATTATTTCCTGTCTGTAATAACAATATTCCAACCTTACATTCTGTTTTCTATTCTTAACTATCAGTCGCACTTGTGGGCCCTTATAGATAGAGGTGTTCTCAATACCCAACAGCATCTTACCCCAGTTCTGATGATGCCATCATTTTACAACATTGTCTTGGAAGTATTAGTATTAGGCTTACCAAGCTGTATGAAAGCACAAACTACTTTCTTTTTTTTTTTTTTTTTTTGGTCTCTTCATTCTTTGGTTTCTATAAAAGAGGTAGAGAGGAAGCAGACAACTCAAAAGATGCGATTTTGGCAGAGCTCAGTATACAGTGTTTGCTATTTCTCTGTTCAGTTCCATCTCCACGTCCAGAGAGTACATACATAGAAAACAATGTGTCAAACAGAGCCTCTGTATTACCAGCAGACAGCAGCACGGTGGCAAACCACTCAAAGAGACAAACCACCTTTGATACCTGGTGAGTTGTTATTTATACAGATGTGTAGAGAATGGCAGGAAAAAAGGGGGTGGATTTTAAAGAAGAAGAAAAAAAAAACTAAAACTTTTTGTTTTCAAAATTTGTGATTATTTATACATGCTTAATTGCTTCCTCTGACTATATTGCCATAGCATTGCATGTTTGCAGTCCCTTTTGAGCAACAAGAAGTACTTCATCACACCATCACATTGATTGCTTTAAAAATTGTACACTTTTGTTCGGTCTTCCCTGATTCTTTTTTCTATTATCAGTCTTTGGTTAAAGATGATGGAAGTGCTTGTGTGCATATAGCAAGCCCATAGCTTCATCTGTGGATTCCAGAAGCATGAATTGTCAGAAAAATGTAAAAAGTTATCAAAATGCATGTTTCCATATATAAATGACTGTATTAATGAAGAATATAATATTCACCCTACAATGGGGACTGCTGCTCTCTTTGCTTACATACCACAGAAGGAATTGAATATATTATATGGGAAAACGGTGATTTTAAAGGGTTTTAAAAAACATTGCATGACTCCATATAGAACATAGAACAATTAACTATAATTATGCTAGTAGAATGACAACATACGTGTAGCTTTGCAGGACTTAAAGGGGAAATATCTTAATTTTGTTGCTGTGAGAGCTGTACAGCTCTAAAGTACTCTTAATGTTCTACTTTGATCACAATAAAGCACAGTGAATAAAAATAAGCAAATGAAGTTTCAAAGAATTGTTGGGAGGAATGGACTTGTATGCATTCTCATGGTTCAACTGTACTTCATACCGCTATATGAAACACTGCTCTCTGAAAGTGATGATACTATGCTATTTAACGAACTGTTTCAGTGGTTTGTTGACATAATGTAATTTCATATGAACAACCTATGAATTACCTGCTTAAAAAAGAAAGGGGTGGGACACAAACAACTGGTTATTTCAGCTTTTGTTCAGGTTATATACCCAAGTCAGCAACAGAAGATGTTTACTCCAGAACACTTGTCTCCTGCTCTGATACACTAGAGTCTGCTTCCTGTCCTTCAGTAGCTCCACCTACATCAGTTCAGTGGATGCTAGTTTTGGGAATCTCATCAGTTATGTAAAAAGGTGGTACTTATGTTGTAATTTGTGGCTAAAGAAGGTCTTTGTTTCCACTGTTGGACCTTCTTACATCTTTTCCTGTCCTTCATATTTGAATCTTTTTATCTGGCATATAACAGAAGCTAACTGGAATCTTGTTTTGCTTTATATATCATTTGGCAATATATTACCTGTTATAATGTGGTTAATACAAAGGAATATGTAATGTTATTCTAATTCTGAACTGAAATAATAGTATATGTTATTAGAGCTGGTTGGGAATTTTTTGGCAAATTATATTTTTCCTTACAATGCTAAATTACCAAAACTTTTCAAAGGAACAGACTAATATCTACTCACCTTTTATTGGAAAGATTCTTCAGCTCCAGGATGGAATTCACAGTCAAAACCAGAGAGATACTCAAAATAACAGATATTTGGGGGTTAGCATTATATTTTTTCGTACAAGGAACTCAAGTGCACAGCTTTTGTTCTTCATTATTTAAACCAGAGATGTGAACAGAAATCTTAGATCTAATAAGTGAAAGACCTGAACCAGAGGTTAGAGGTTATTTTGAAGCACATTCTCTGTTTTTACCCTCAATATATTCTCTCGAAGCTGTTTCATTTTGTTGAAATAATGAAAGGACCACAAGAGATGCTGAGTATAGCCTACTGAATAAGGCTCTAGATTAACTTTGAGACAGTTAGATTTAAGTCTTTGCTCCACTTACCATACTCAAATATTTCCATTAAGTGGAGCAGCTCCTTTGAGAGAAAAACCCACAGAAGAATAAGCTTTTTGTCTTGTAAAATGGAAAGAATGGCAGTGCCCTCCACATCAAATTACCTGCTATTTTGGCATGCATTCCTCTTTCTCTTTGCTTTTCCAAGTCCCTATTTTCCTGAAATGTTTCCTGCCCAGCTCTACATGTTACTCTGTGCAAGTTGTCCTGGCAATGGTCTAATGTTGTTGCAAAATTGTTCTGTGCCATAAATGCAGATTCCTGAGTGATGTAGAGTCTGTTCCTCTACTTATTTTTCTGTATAGAAGTTGTGTAAATGCTTATGAAAATGTTGAAAGCTCTAATGGAATGTGATTCTGCTTACATCATCAATTTTATGATGAAATAAATATTTGATGTCTGATGGACATACATGACTGGTACATGACAATTCATCTCAAATTATGAGTGACATGTATTCCACCTGGACTTGCCACTACTGTAAAATATGGCTCCTCTCATACTACTGCTCTGTGTTGCCTTTCTTCTGTCAAAGATTTTGTGAATGTTTGCTAGACTGAATTGTCACAAATGTTCCCTTGTCTTTGTGTGCATTTCTTCACTCTGTCCTCACTGTCCTGCCTCTTTAAAATAAAGATGTTATGAACTCAACTTTTGTTACCAGGTTTTACTATTAAATTTCTAGATCATTTCAGAACTTCAGATGACTTGGTTTGAAAAAGGCAAATTTTCATCTTTCTAGAAAATCTTTGAGTTTAATTTCCTGCGAGTGACCTTGAACTTGCTCAATTTTCCATCTTTAGATACAAGAATTTTATTCTCTCTCAACTTTTGTCTCAACCTGGGAAAAATTAGTAGGTAATAGGCAAGATACTTAAACCTTGTTCTGCCAGTGTACCAAAACGCTGACCTGAGTTACTATATGTAATAATTGCTTTATTACAGTTCTCAGTATCTCCTTGGAATAAACTCCAACATGCAGCATTTCATCTTCCATCATGCTGGAGGTGCTTCTTGTGTTGGTTGCTTACAACATATGTGGGGACTTTTGGAAAGTTTGGACCTTTTATGTCCATTAAAATGTATTAATTCTATGACAAACAGCTGGTATATGTTATACCTCCCTCAAAAAATAAGGGGAAATACATACAATATTATTTTATATATAAATACATAAGCACACACACTCTGACTCAAGAACAAAACAACAAGAAAACAAACAAACAAACAAAAAACACCCTTACTGTTTTATCTATCTGCTGTTAGTTTTTAGGACTCCAAAACGTTACAGTATGCTATGAACATGACCCGACTGGCTTTAATTTTGCTGTTTCAATGGCAGCGTGACAATGCAGTCACACTGAAGTCCATGGAACAAAAAGGTTGCCAATACCTGAACAAGGTGGTTGAAAGCTTGTTCAGTTGTCTGTATCCCATCCATTCCTGCATTGCAAGTATGCTCCAGTTCATTTACAGATTTTTAGATTTTTTTTTCTAAAAATACCAATATTCCAAATTTGTTGTTTGCAAGCTTAAAAAATCAGCTGTGTGTTGCACTGGTTGAGCCTTTAGGAATCTGCTCAGCATAGCCTGAAGATATTCACCTTCCTAATGCTATTGCTCTCCCTCTGACGTTTCCTACCCAAGACTCTCGTATATGCATTATCTCCTACGTTTGCTTTTTTCATCTGTATGGCTGCATCTGAGCCTCACTGCCAATGCATGTAGGCTCTCTTCTAGTAACCAGCGAGTGCCTCTTCCCCAGCCCTTCACCAGTCATCAGTGATTTTTTTTTTTTGTACTAAAATTTGGTAATGAAATACAACGTTACTTGCAAGGAATCCTTACAAAAATTGTAGTTGTCAATATTCAGTCCAAGAAATAAGCCTAGGGAAGTACGAGGTCATGAAGCCAACTAGTTCCAAATATTTGTTATTTACTAATATTGAATTATATTGGGGAGGGGATGTGTATATATATGTACACACACATACAAGTATGTATACTTCTTTTTAGTAAAGCCGTAGCCTTCAGTGATACTGTGGTTATAGAGGCTGCTGTGTGGGATTCTGTATATAAGATGGTAGACATGGGTTTCGTTCCAGCTAATAAATCCAACTTTTTCACATGAAAGAAGGTTTTCAGCTTTTAGCAATGTTCTGAGTTGATCTCTTGTTTTTTTCAGCTTTCAGTGCCAGGCTATTACACCTAGAAGTTTTTACTAAGCTTGCAGGACTGATATTTTTATCTTAGGTAAACCGTGTATTTGAGTTTCTTCACTGGTTTCAGACATTTTCTTGCCATTGTTTATGGTAACTGTATAACTTCCAAGGTGGATGGACTTTTTAAATATTCGTTAATATTTTGAAGAAAACTTCAGATATTTCAGTAACTTCTCCTTTAGGCCAAAATCTGACTTACGTAATTGTGAGCTGTGCTGTAAGGGGAGTAAGTAGTATGGTGGCAGCTAAAGAGGATTTCTAACCAGGCTACCTGCTGAAATTAGGGGTACTGAAGAGCACAAGGAATTGCCGAAAAAGGAGCCTTGTGCAGTATGAACGCATCTGTGGCAGCATGAGTGCAGCACGCTTCCTATTTCCCTTTTTTTTTTTTTTTTTTTTGAAGTAAATGCTGAAGCACAGCAGTTTCTTTGCCTCCATCCATACATGCTGCTACACACCGATGTACCTGCATGAAGTTGGATACCTTTCCTCCCCAGGGGCAATAAATGCTAGCGATAGTCAAAGCATTTCTCTAGTTTCTGTGTCTTTTTCCAAATGTCTCTGACCAGAATAACCAATATGATCTATATTATGTGTCCTAAGCATGCAAAAGGCACAAAAAGGGATAAAAGGGATAATGGAGAAGAGGAAATTTTGCCTTTAGTTTCTGCTTGAGGGTGAGTTCTCTCAGTGGGGGCTCTTCTCTAGGGCTAGTCTTGCTTCCTAGTGATAGAGACACAGGCTGTGGTGTAACTGCTGCTTTCAAAAGCTGAAGCTTTATGCAAAACACCAGGAACTTGGCCGTTATATTGGAAGAATTACCGTGTGGCTATACCATACAGATTTTTTCTGATAATCCTCACTTATTCCTGTACTGTCCATTGTCTGAAACCCATCTTTCGGGATGCCTAAAATATCCCGGTGTTTCATCTCGGCGATCAAAATGTTCTGCTCTATTTTTACTCAGCGCAAAATCCTGGTGTTGAAACTTCCTGCTATAATGCTATATATGTTCGCTCTCTTCACATAATGAGCATGTGTTTGGAAGCAGTTGCTTTTCAAGGTCAGTGCTTTTTCAGACAACTGTGCTGCAATATGAGTCATAGGAGTTAATGACATAAACCCGTCCATGTAAAACCACTGGCTTTTGGGTAGGCGGCAATTGGAAATGAGCAGAGTTCTCAGCCCCTTGCATTTTTTTCTTCCAGGTCACTGGAGTTAACAAAGAGGAAGATAAAAAACAGAATTTCACTTCTGGCCTTTCCACTCACCTGCTGTGGGGAGCAGTTTTCTTGTCTAGGTTCACTGGGCTGAAGAAATGAGTTACACTTGAGTGAATCTGTCTAAAAGCGTGCAAAAATTGTCCCAAGTTTTATTCTAAAGAGTAAGTTCACTTTTTAAAAATACAGCATCTCCGTTGAAGAATAGGTGTTGGAGCAGAAAAGCCAGAGCAAGACGTTGACAAATTTTAAAGGACGGTGCAGGCAAACCATGCTGGCACTTAGGATCTGAGCCTAGTTCTTCAATGGGCAGCACAGTCTCTGGGTTGGTAATTTGCACTAAGGCCATGTTTTGGGGGTACGTTTGCAGATGAGGATGTGCAGTAGCTTCTCTGGGAAAAGATTTGGGAGATTCTCAGCCCTTTTCACATGACTTTGAGAGTGCAAGCAGGATATTTGTGCATGCTTTTCTCCAAGCTTTCTAACAAATTACAGAAGATGAAACTCCTAAAAATACTTCAGTAAATAACTCAGTAGTTGTTTTGTCTGTGTGAAGTTGCTCTTGTGAGTTGACAAAATATGTAAAGCTGTCAGTAATGTTTACTTTTGGGCTCTGCTGTGATGCTTTAAGTGAATTATACAAGACTTACTGCTGTTATGCAATGGTACTAAATCCAGGGACATGACATAAGCAGGGATCTTTAGCAATCCCGTATATTTAAAATATGTGGTAGGAATCTAATAGTTATACTAAACTAGAGATTTTTCCTGTATCTACTTCCAGATTTCAGATTTCAGATTTTCACATTGTTTGTATCACTGAACATGTGAATGTGTTTTCTGGATCTAGATTTAAGTTGAAAAAATTTAACTTAGCAAAATTCCCACCGTCTACTCTGCCTATAAATCTTTCCTCTAAGCCCATTTCTTTTACTCAATTATTATACCTTGTTACAGTGTTTAAATACTACATGCATTTAGTTAGAACCAGGTAGCACTCCGAGTTTGAGATGGTTTTGGGTAGAAATGGAGGAACTGACCAAACCCCATTTCAGATTGAAGATGCTCATTAATAAGGGGGACAACTGTCGTCATTCCCACCTCGATAATGTGTTTCTCATTTGCTTGGAAAAAAACGTCAGCTTGGCATGTAGTAGCAGCTGAATCACCAGTTTACAGCATAGCATTTTAAGCCAGATTTAGAACCCAAAGATAACTATAGCAGGCAGCGAAGTGTTGCTACATTACAGTTGCTCCAAGCAAAGCTGCCTCTCTTTGCCATTCAGAGCCATTAGAACTGTGGCTGTCCCTCAGGTTTTCCAGCAAGACAATAGAATAATTTCTTTTTTATTTTCATACAAATTAAGGCTCAAAAGGGGCAATTAGATCATCCAGTATGACTTCACATATGTTAGTTGCCAGTAATTGTCATCCATTCTCTGGGGTTGAGGCCCAGCAGTGCGTCTGGCAGAAGCGTACGCAGTCCTGATTTGAAATGTCAAAGATGGCAAATCCACTCCTTCACTACAGAGTTTCTTCTTGTGGTTAATGATTCTCATTGTTAAAATCAGTGCCCTATTTCTAACAAGACTTCTCTGGCCTAATCATCTACCTACTTGTTCTTGTTATGTCTTTGCCCTATACTTTAAAGGTCTGTAATTTTTGTAATTTCTTCCTGGTTAAGTACCTGTGCGCCACAATCAAGGAAGCTGTAATTGTTGGGATTGGCTTGGCTGTGTTTTTGACATTGTAGAGAGATGGAAATCTCTGACTCTTTTAATGTAGACCATTCTTTTTATCTTCGTGAAACTTCCCATCAGCACTTCCAATTTTCAAAATAGCTTAAAGGGCACTAGAACTGCATACAGCTATGTCTCACCAATGTCCTTCATAAGCCATCTTTTTGCTCTTTATCAGTGCTTTACATCCTTAGTTTACTGTGTACACTTAAAGTAACGTGTTGGATATCAGCTGTAGTTAATTCTGCTGTAAACAAGATATGAGGGAGAAATAAATAAAATTCAGTCTGCAGGGAAGTCAACTGTTCCACTTTTGGGTCATCTTCTTTTGCCAGCACTGTCTCACGCATGCATAACAAACTAACTGAAGTTTCTAAGTTGAAATGGATCCCCAGCCTCCCTGATGATAAATTTGGAACCATGTCAGCAAAGGTCAGGAGTGTCAATTGAAATTGGTTCTGTCTGGCGAACTTTGCAACTCCCAGCTCTCCGGCAAGCAATGGATAAACTGGACCAGTGCTTTTGTACCTCCTCACCAGTTGTATGTTCTCTCAGATACGATTTTCATTTTTCTAAAAAAACTTGTGTGTGAATATTTTGGTTTGAGTATTAAATTCTGGCTTAGAAAAAACATGCATGCTTTAACCTTTTCCCTAAGTAACTCACTGGTTTGACTAATCATTTTACCCTAACACTTTGTTCCTCCTATCCCATTTAATAAGACTGTTACTTGTATAGTAACCATTGAACCAATGAATGTTTAAACATTAAGAATCTTTTTGCTTCAATCAATAATTTTCATTCTTTGCCATAAGGTCTCACCATTACACAGAATTTGCATCATATCAAAATAAACTCTGTCTTACAATACCTTATCTCATGTTTAGGAAAAGTCCTGAAAATCTTAACAGTCACTCTGAACAGCTCAAGGAGAAAGAAAAGCAAGGGTTTTTCAGGGCAATAAAAAAGAAAAAGAAGAAATCTCAAACTGTAAGTATGCAGTTATTTCTAAAAGAAAATAAGTTTATCAGTTTTGAATGGTACTACTTTAAAATGCTAGACTAGTACAGTAACTTTATATTATTTGTGATCATACCTGCATGTATCTATTTGTTCTTTTTCTGTTTTCACTATATGACAGTCAGATACTCTTTCTGTGTCTGTTTTCATTAAGATACTTCAACATCCAGTTTATATGCAAGTTTTAAGCAGATGTTGTAGCAAATCCTTTTGCAGCATATGTTGATACTGTTCAAAAAGTAGCAAATGCATTATTGTGTGTCCTCAGAGCTTGAATAATTTCAGATACCCATTAGGAGGAAATCAAACTGCTATAAAAGAGAATTCTTTAAGAACATTTTCATGGCAGTGTCTTGATGACAGCTTCCAACTTCTTGCCATACCCTGTGACTGGAATAAGGATGATGTGCCTTAGCCATTCTCAATGTTTTATTTTATGTTGGGGGAAAAGGTGTCTTTTATTGTATTGTGTATGCCTTTGCTATCTTTTCTGTATTTCTACATTTACATCTAGTTTTCGGGAGAGAAACATTATTTATCAGAGGGCAGTGACATATTAGTATTTCAAAAAGTTTTACAATGAAAGTCCCTGTAAGAACTGGGAAAACCTAAACATCATCTCATCTCAATCTTGGAAAACAGTTCTGGAAACAGTAAAATACTTAAAATTACATTTGCATATCTGTTTAACAAAATTTTAAAACTGCAGGTACTTTATCTAAAATTATGGCTAGTAAAAATGTGCTCTTGTAATTCTCAACCAGGCCACCGGGCTTTCTATTAGTATAGTAGTATATTACTAAATTTCATGTGCAAAATAGTGTCAAAAATATACCTTTGTCTCTTTATGTTACTGGTTCTTTCCAGTGTACTTCATTCTTACATTAGTAAAATGAAGAATTCTACCCAACTTTTTTTTTTAAAACATATTTTTTTCATTAAAATGTAACTTTATTAATTTGTTAATAACATTAGTTCCTTTTTTGATTTTGGTGTCATGTCAGATGTTCTCAGTGTACAAAAAAAAAAAAAAGATAACTTTCAGACTTGACTTGGAATTTGAAAATCAAACTGTTTTATCTAGTAGTGGGATCATCATCTCCAACAGTAATGTATGCTCTCCTTTTCAAAGTAGCTTGCTTGAATTCCCCACATTTCAGGTTTGGGTTTCAGAACTCAGTGCCATTGAAAAACTAGGTTGTAATATTTCTGTAAATGAAATGGCAGTTATGGTTTTGAAGGTTCTTGAAATGGAGTAAATTGTGCTCACTCATCATAGTTAAATAGGCTTCAGAAGAAGTTAACAGTACTGCAGGGCAAAGGGGAGTAACTAAGTTAAAATATCTTCTGTCAGAGAGTGAGGTGGCATGACTGGGTATTGTTGGAGGGCTGATCTATTGAAAACTGGGGGAGAGGAGTGTTTGTCTGCTTTTTTTCATTGTTTGTTTAATTTTCTTTGAACTGCATGGAATGTGCATGCGTGTGTTAACTAGCACACAAAAATGCACCATATCTCCTTGCTAGCTAGGTTTTAGGGTAGTGGCTCCTACCTCTCCTTCTGAACTTGTTCACCAAGATACCTGTTCTGAACTAAATATCTAGTTTAAAACTCTGGGATTTTTTGATATCACAATGTCCATGAAAGGGTAAGCACGCCTAATTGGTTTAGGTAGCACGCTGGAGCCATTGGTTTCAGTGATGCATTTGCCAAAAAAAGATGTTATATTTGCACTGTTTTAGATTTCAGCCATTCAGACATGGTGGAAGGGAACATATTAAAAGCCCAGCTGATAGATCAGGTATCAACTACTTCCAGATTAAACTAAGTGAAGGAATTAGAGACTGAGGTGAGTTGTGTTGCAACGCAAAAATCAGCACTTTCCCAAATATCAACTGACAAGCACCTTGCTCTGTAGATACTGAAAACATCACTGATTACAAGCCAGGACAGATTTACACATGCTCCTTACTCCTTTTCATACTTAAGGAGAGGGAGAGAGTGTTTGCATAACGAAAAATGCATTGGCTAGTTCCACCTAGTCTTTCACAGGAGATGCATAATATTTCTGAAATGCGATAGTGATGAAACTGTTGCATCCTCATCTACAAGCTTGCTGACATCAACTTCATTCAACCAGAGACTGAAAAACCTCTTCTCGTTTCTACTTGCAGTTGTTTGACAGAACAGTGTCTAGGGACAGACTGTGCACACCAGTGCGTGTGCAAGTGTTTGCTTCAGACACTGCTCTTTGTTCTTCTTTGTCTGTTCGTTGAGGAAGTCTGCATAAAGAGCATTGGGATGTTCATGAGGGTCTTCCTCCGTGAATGTAATTTATTACCTGAAAATTATTTAGCTCCAAGTTTGACTTCAGTAGTAAAAGCTTTTAACAGCACTGTAGTAATAGCTCTTCAACTACAGCAATAATGGACTCATATCAAAAATCTTAATATATTGTGACTGTCCAAGTTTTTTTCTGAGGCTTAAAACTCTTAGAGTCCTAGATGTATGCAATTCTAGCTATGTACCCTGATACCAGCTTTCTGCAGCAAATAACAAGCTAGACCCAGAGAACAGTCGTATTGAGAAGCATGTAATAGTACGCGATTGTACACAGTGTTAAGAGGGTGATAATACCACATCCATTGCTTACTACTTACATCCACTGTTATTTGGCAAGTTTTGTGTTGCTGGTGATCATCGTAAGAGTCATAAAAGATGACTTGGGACTAAAGATATCTTCTTAATAATGTCATTCTCAAAATCTCCAGTAGTGCGGAAGTGATACCAGTTTCTGATACTTCCTCGTGCAGAGGATTATTCTCTCTAGAGTTCTCCAGGTGTAGTTCTTTATGGGATAACAATCACTACTGTCTGCTATGGGAATTCTTTGGAATATTGTTTTTGAAGAGCTGTTTTTATCCATTCTCCTTTTTATCTTGTTTTGGAATCTTTTAGTAATGCAGCAAAAGGTTTTGATTTTTAGAATCACATTTTTTTCTGCAATCTGTCACTAAGCGTTTTGGTATCCATGAGGGCTGTGTAAAGTGTCAATGTGCACTATCTTCAGAAGAGCCTGAGTTTTGCAGATTGTGGCACATATTGCAAGCTACGGATCTGAAGAGATTATGTACTTTGGAAAAAACAGTTGCAAGTGACCCTTCCTCCTCCTGATGCTTTGATTCCTTTTCAATTTACTGAACTTCAAACAGAAAGTTCTTCTGACCACAGAGTTTCTAAGCAAGCTGTGCTAATTAATGACTTTGTCTTTTGTTAGCTTGGATGGAAACTAGAAGCTGGGAATTTGTTTGAAAACCTTCTCTTCTGGTAGTGCACCCATCGTTATATTTAGTCATATAACCATTGCAGTATAAAGTTTTCTTTTGGTAGGCAAATGGCACAGCAAGTGGCTTGGGCTTGTTTGCACCTGAGAGGAGGAGAAATCATCATGTTCATAATTTTAATACTTGACAGTTCTGTTTGTTGTTTGTGCATCCGTTGGTATGCTCTTTGATTGTCTTACAGAAATAAAAATATAACTGCCAGTGCCCTTGCAGTTGTACGTGAAGTTGTTGAAGGCATATTTTTGTCAGAATTGAAATCATTCATCTTGGAGCCCTAGCTCTTTTTAAAAGCTAAAAATAAAATACTTTTCTTTCTTCCAGAGGTAACTATCAACTACTCATTCTAAAACCGATTGCTGCTATTACTAGTATATCTTTGATATTTTATTTATATAAAAATAAGAAATGCCATAACATTTTATATCATTATCATAAGTAACAAAATTACAAGATTTGATCTATAGCTCAATAAAGTCAACAAGACCTACCTGCAGTTTTCAAAAGACTTTATACTCTACATTCCTAATGGGAGATAAAAATAGGTGATCTCTTTTTCTGTAAGAATACTGATCTCTTTTTCCATGCTGTATATGCATTGAGTTCCTTGAATTTGTTCCATACACTTTCTTCATTCAGTCACTATTATATTTTCCTGAATCAGATTGATACCATGTACTGTTGGAACTACAAAAATATAATTATGAGTTAATATAGTAAGGACAGATCTCCTGAATTGATATACTATGCATTTAGATTTTGTATCTTATATTACAGACAAACTCAACCAACGGGGAGAATCCAAGCATCAAGAAATCCCTCTTCCCTCTTTTTAATTCAAAGAATAATTTAAAGCATAGTTCTTCTTTGAAAAAGCTTCCTGTAGTCACTCTACCCATGGTATTAATTTTTAAGTACAGTAGCTCTGTAAAACGCTCCAGTAAACTTATTTTACTGACTACAGCAGCATGTGTTTTATTTTCATGGGATCACTTTCTCTTCATGCCAGTTAAGTATCTTGGGCCAGTTCCATAAATTTAAGTAAAGTTTGTGGTTCCATTGAAGTAGATTATGTCTTTAAAAAAAAAAAAAAGTCTCTTGACCATTTGTTATACTGAAAATGTAATGTACACAGCTCCAGAGAGAATGAGCGCCAGGACTAGGGCTAAATGAGGAAAATAGTTGTGAAATTACCCATGTTTAAATTTTCTCATTCTGTTTCAATCAGGAAAAAAAAAAATTAACCTGGTTTGTTTTATAGCTATATTAGAGATACATTCTGTGTGCTAACTGCTCCTTTATATATAAATTCAATTAGATATTAATGACACATTCTCTGAAAAAAAAACTTAACTCATGTTTCTAACATATTTTTGTTTGTGCTGATTGTTCACGATAAAAGGCAGACTGCATTAAAAATAGATTAAATTTAATTGTTCTTTTCTGCTTAAAATTCCTGAAATAAAAGTCTCTATAAGCTTTACATTGTTATTCTGCCATAATATTTGATGAATTTATATCTTGTTTTTTAGTGCCGTTGAATTTTTTTTATTTTTTAATTTGGCTTGGGTTATTTGTGGAGGAGCAGAAAGATGAGGAAAAGAAAATCTCTTCCTTTGTGATGGCAAAATCGGCCAGATGTCAGTTTAGAGATGATTTCGATCTGCTTCAATTAGGAACAAATTTATAGAACTGATCCTTGGTCTTAACTGCAGTATGGAATGCTTTTTAAATGAAGATGACACTCAACAATTCTGTTGTTGTTGTTGTTTTTTATTATTATTATTATTTTATTTTTCTTGGAAGCCTTGTTTAATTGCTCTCTCTTACAGCAAATAACACTAACAGCATGCGAATGCTTCAAGGGCTAAGGGTAAAGCAACTCTGCATGACCTCCGCAGCCACTTACTCTTACTATGGGGAAAAATAATGAAAGGACATTGCAATTCTGCTGCAGTATTGGGCTTCACTTGCGTTGTGTAATTAACTTGGGAAGAGGATTTACAGCTATTCTTAAGAAATATATTAAAAGCCCAGTTTTTAATGTTTTGTTGCAGATGCCTAGCACTGATGGTCAGGATCTCTTGGCATTACAGAAAGCCATTCATTCTACTAATCACCAGAGCAGCAGGCAGAAGGATTGGCATCCTGAGAAGATGACAGAAATCCAGCCTCATGTAAGTAGCATTATCAGTTCCCTGTATTTTAACATCACGAAGGTATCTTGACAGATTTTTCTCCGGTAAATAGAAAAATTGCATTTGATGTTATTTCCCACCCTCCCCATTCCCTCCTCACTAAATATAAAAACTCATGTACCTGTGGTACTGCATGATTCTTTGAAAATCTAGACACAAGTGACAGGGAAAGGAGGTGAGACTGTATGTCCTTATGTCAGTCACTGAGCCTTTAGAAATGGTGGTTGTGTGCTTGTTTTGGAGATAAACAACGTTTCAGTGCACAGCCGCAGTAGGCACTGCAGTACCGTGGCAGTGCCCTCAAGTGGGGGCCTGCTGCTGCGTGGCTGTGCCTCAGCTGGCACAGGCTGCTGGTTTTGCAGGCTGGCTTGGTGGAGCATCGCACTGCATGAGTGCAGCTTTGTGTCCTCCAGTTCTAAAGCCAGCCTGGGGGACAGGGCTTGGGAGGCAGCTTCTCTGCCATGCTCTTGCCATTACAAGGTTGAAAACTTTGAAACATTGAAATTGCAGCTGGTGTGCTTGAGGAAGCAAGTTGTTCTGTGAGCTGTGGAATTTAATGGTGCTGTTATCCTACCAATTTGTGTACTCAGGCTTACCACAGCTCTTGCTACTCATTTGAGTAACCCCTTGTGTCTCTTCTCCTTTGGTGTGCTTTATCAGCTAAAGAAGCTGTGAGGGACAAGAGCTGCTTACCACCCCGCTGCAGGCAAACCAAATACCAAACTGCTGAGCTCTGCCAGCCTTTATTTCAGTGCAGATAATTACTCAAGGTTCTCTCTAACCCCGAGTTGACATTCAGGAAATTTTTAGGTACTTCGTATTTCTGATATCTGCGCCTCATAAAATGTGGCTTGAGGTTCTAAAGTTAATAGCAGGAGTGCTGACAGACGGAGAGCTAATGCAATTGCCTGTGCCTCTGTTTTCATAGGACACAAGGTTAAAATAACCGACGGGAACAAAAGCTTTTTTTCTGAGCTAGCCATTCCGTCTTTTCAGGTAGCTGATGGATTTGAATGATAATGAGAAAGCATTTTTCTCAGGTGTGTAGTCATAGCTTGGAAGGAAATACTCCAAGTGAGTACATACTAAAAGTGAAGAAGTCCTGCAAAGTTCAGGACGTTCGATTTAGGATATGACAGTTTTGTCATAGGAAGTCTGATACGATAGAATAGCAGCGAGAGCAGAAGGTCAAGTGCTTTCCCCGTGTCTTTTAGAGCCAGCCATTAAAATCTCTTCGCAAGCTATTACACCTCTCCTCCTCGAACCACCCTGTCCCTGCTGAGCCTCGCTTCCAGCCCCTGCCAAGCCAGCCGGCCAAAGCCGCTTTCTCCGAGGTGCGAATCCACCCCATGAGTCAAAGCTCCAGCAGCGGCAGCAGCAACGCGCGGCAAGAGGCGCCGGCCAAGGGCAGGCCCACGCTGCAGATCCCGAGCCAGCTGGAGCCCACCTGGCACGTGTCCCCCGTCAACAGGAGCACGAGCGACGGGCCTCCCTACGCCGAGCAGCCGCCCGCCAAGAGCGGGCAGAACGGGCACGCGTACAGCCGAACAAACCGGTCACGGATGCCAAACCTGAACGACCTGAAAGAGACAGCCTTGTAATCGCACTCCAGGCAGTAGGCCAGCTCGCACGGAGGTCAGCGTAGGGGAGTGGTGGTGGTTTCTGGTGATGGTAAGACTGTATTTTCAGCTTTATAAAGGTGTGCAATATGTACATGTGGAGCTATGTTGTTTGGCGCCACAGCGAGAGTCAGGGATTATACAGTAAACCAAGTCGAATTACGAATTACTAGTCATCAGAAATGTCACCGGACGACAGGCAGAGTGTGCCGTCCAGGGAGAAAAAGGTATTGCCATTTTCTCTCATTTACATTCCAGCTTAGAGCACATCTCTGTCAGAAAGCTGGGAGACTTCTGGTATGTATTGGCACTTATAAGGGTGAAAACGTTCATGTCTAGACCTATGCCCTTACTACATTTTTTGCTGCCTAGTTAACACAGTGGGGTTTATGTGATAAAAGTGTATCCCCGTTAAGGGTTTAAAGTTAAATTGTATGTCTTAAATTTGTTTTTTAAACTTCCATATTTGATAGGATTTGTAATATTTATTTATGATGACCTAATATCGTACTGTTATAATCATATCTTTTATGTTATAATGTAAAGTTATTTTGAGCTGTTTGAAACATTGTGAAGCAGTGCAACAGCTACAGTAGTTTCTATAAAAAACTAACAGTAACATTTATATATTGCATCAGGAGTATTTTATTCTATATATAAATATATATATATAAATGGAAAATAACTGTCTGTTTTTTAAATATACTCATTTAAAAGAAAAGTATTGTTATGACACTATCTGCCATATTTTTATACATTTGTGATATAAAGTGCAGTATTATACTTCTAATAAAAGGAAGTTGAATGTGGATATAAATGTGACTGTAACAGTATGAATCTTGCTCAGCTATGAGAGCCCAATATTATAGGAATTACTGATAACAAACAAAAGACAACATTCAATTCCAAGCTTTATTATGGGCTATTTTGTTGGAAGTATTGGCTAAATGTAAGAGACTGCAGAACTGTACAGTAATCTAAATGTGATATGTTCTCCCCTGTGTCCTTAGATTTCCTAATAATAATCATAGGATTTCTGCATCTGCATCGAGAGATTAGAGCCCCAGAACCATTTTTTTTTTTTCCTCTAAAGAGATAAAGTGCCCCATGACTACAAGCTAAAGCAGGTGCTCTTCCACTTAATTGTAGGGGTGAAAACCAAAGAAACATAGCATGAATTGCAAGTGAAATGCCAAACTTTGACACTTAATGCATAGCATGGCACTGCAGATCATGGTATAAGCTTTTATGCATATGTGTATTTTACATCTTGTTTTAGCAATCTATTAACTAATAAGATAAACACTGTATTTAAATTAAAAGTACTCTTGCACTTTTTCTTATATTTCAGGATGTATTTAAAACTACAAATCTGATATTTGGATATTGAGGGAGAAGGTTGCCGTGCAGCTTAATTTCTCCTTAGACCTTACTGTCCCAATATTCCCATACGCAGTTCAGTGACCAGTCTCAGCAAAATACTAGATCTTGGGTTCCAGTCTCCTGTACAACATTGTTAAAACTGCCTTTACGTTGGTGAATGTCAAGTATAGCAAATATATAACCTGATTCCTCTGTTGCTACCAGTAAAATACATGGAAGGTGAGTCAGTAGGAGTCAAAAGAGTTATGCCAGTCTAAACTTTGTGCAATAAGAGGAGAGTCAGGCCTGTAGTGTCAGAACAATACGATCTTTCCTTTTCAAACACGTTCATTCAGCTCCCTCATTACGCTGCAGCATAGTTCATTTTCTATTTGGTGTCGTCAGAAGACACTTGTACCTGCAAACATGTTGTCTGTTCCGAGAAGAGATTAACCTGAATGTAAAATTGATGACTTAGCCATAGATATAGTTAACAGAAGTAGCCAGACAGTAAGAGCTGAACTTCCTACTTTGAAAACAATGCAAACTGGACGTGACGTTCGGTACCTCTTGCATCATACCAAAGCTCTAACAACAACACATTCGGCACAAACACTTTGAAAATCTTTGTCAAGTACAATATGAAAGGATGTTACAGCAGGTTTGTCCAGGGCAAAAATTAAGCCTGGTGAATTTGAAAAACTATAAAATGAAAATTCCTTGTCAATTGCCTGCAAGAAATGTGCATATAATTTTCTATAGATATATATGGTTTATAGTATATTTGTATATGCTATAACATATAGAGTATTTATATAGCATATATAAATACAGTAGACATGAAAGGATATTCAGTTTTTGGTAAGTTCAGTGGGCATCCATGAAGGTTATTGTGAATTTACTAGTCCTTACTATCAATATCAGTATATTTTAAAAGTCTCTCTTCGATTCACCAGTTCATCACAACTAGACTACTCCCGTTCTCTGCTTTGAAATGGGTTGATGCCACTGAAATCCTCACAAAAGCATTGCCTGGGAGTGGGGCTCTAAGCAGTACTATCAGAATGTCTCCGCGTGAGCATTCAGACTAGACTCTTCTGTACTTTATGGATGTATTTCCTTTTGCCTCTATAAGATTTGTATCTTGATAGTAAGAGCTTCCTGCTGGAGATGATGCCACTGGGCTGTATATGGCTGTTCTGGTTTCTAGCAAGGAAAAATGTTTCCCAAGGTTTTTGTTTGTTTGTTCGTTTCCCTCAATATGCATTAAGTTAAATCAGGGTAATCTCTGACTGTACATATAGCTATTTAAAGTAGTTAGCAAAGCTTCAAGAGTGACCTAAGGAATGTTCAAGTATTTATTTGGTGGCCCATATTTACAGAAAGTTGTTTCTACTTCATACTGCATTTTCTTCTCAACTTCAACAAACAGTAACAGATTTAAGTTGAATACTAAATTGTGTTGAATGTATGTAGTATTTTCTTCCTTCTGTTAGAAAGAACTTCCAGCAGCTCAGCCAGCTGGTGCTGGGATAGATTGTGTATTTTTAACCTGGTCTAACTTCCGAATATTTAAAATATTGCTAATGTAATTTCGCTGAGGCTTCCAAAGGAGTCTTATTATATGGCAGAGATTTGCTGTCTCAATAAAGGAGAAGATAATTACAGAGCAAACAATTTTCTAAGTGTGAGCTTTCCTCTTCACTGGTCTTTGAGTCTTGTGCTACATGTTCTATAGATTGACTTACTATAAAGCATCTTATTTAAACAGCATTTTATTCTTTGGCAAGCTGCTTTGCCTTATTATGGCATCATTAATGATGTGAAAAGTAAAGAAACTAAGTTTCAGAAATGGATTAGTCATTTTGCAGAACTCAAGCTGCCTAAACCTGTAGATAAGTTTTTACTATAGCTCTTGAGCTCTTGATAATCGACAAAGAAGCACCTTAAGCTCATCTTAATTGAAACTGTGTGAAGCTATGTGGTTAAGCTGTCCTTTTAACTGCCATGAAAATGCATTAACCTAAAACAACACGTGGGGTTTTTTAACAGACCTGACCACAGAGAACAGTCCCTTAGGGCTATTTAACGCGTTTTGCTCTGTTATCGCAGTCCAAGATCCCTCGTTCCTCCGAGAGGTCGCCAGCACTGAGCACCAGGACGAGCTCTTGGCAGGAAGTCAGCGGCCCCAGGTTCGATCCAGTCTTTCTAAAAAGTTCCCCATCCCACAGGGCTTGGGCCTTGCACCAAGCTTTCATGCCTGATGCCAGGTCAGGCCCACCTCAGCGCACCCACTCTACGTACAGATAGTTGCTCTCTTAGATCAGTATTTAAGCAGGCCTCAAACTTCCAGACTTAACACACACCCTCAGATCATCTTCAGGCTTGTCGCCTTTCTCTCTGCTGGACCAGCTTGTTTCGGGGAGCGGAGCTGCAGTGATTCTCCAAGCAGCAGTGTCCTGCCTGTGGACATGGCTGGTCATTGCAGATGGGTCTCCTAAAGGGTCAATATTCGTAGTATAAAAAGCCACGTACCAACCTTTGTTTTTACTTCAAAAGCCTCTCTAACTTAGCTGAGTAGACCACTGTGTTCACCCAGAAAAAGCTATGTATTTGTAACAGTTCAGTGCTGTAATTCCTTGTAGTGAAGGGAACTCTGAAAGCAATGCTATCATCTATTTAGCTAAGACAAAAAGCAGCCGCTTTCGAGGGGAGCCATGAGCTAGAAGCGTTTGGGGTTTTTATTCTTTTGTTGTTGTTGTCTTAATTTGGTAGCGAGACATGCTTCAGAAATACCTACATGTAATTAATTCTGTATATGCTGAACACTGTCAGAGACTGGGAGAGTATTTGAATCTCAGTCACACACAGAGTACTAAAAGGATAGCCATATATAATATACTGCAAATTGTGGGGTGGCAATGAATGTTCCTTTTTTCCGTTCCAGCTAGCATGAACAATACATTTATTAGTGGGATTTTATCATCAGTCACACATCTGGGCTGTTCGTGTACGTAGGCCCACCACTTGGAATAGGACAGGAGTGTCACAGAAGATGCTTGGAAAGGTGAAGTGCCCTATTAAATCATTTTAAATGACCTTTAAGTCAGGACACTGTATAAGAACAGGTGCCTTTCCCCAAACAGTCCTCTCTAATGGTGTCATGATACTACCCATTCATTAGCTGGGTTTGTAGTGCATGAGGAGAAAAGCCATTTAACTTTCTGGCCTTTGTTAAAAAGGGAGCAATTTGAGTAAACCCTTTCAATATAACACCGCTTGGAAGTTCTAGATGTCGGCTCCTTTCTCAGAGTCAAACAGCACCAGTGCATCATTGCTTCAGGCTCATCAGGCTAGTGAACACTTGTACATGTTGCTTGGTTCAGGTGTTGCAATGAAACAAAGTTCATGATGGTTAAGCAACGCAAATTTTACAGGAGATCCTCTTAATTTGAAGAGCAAACCTGTCGTAGATAGCCTGTTGTCTCAGCAGTCTGTTTTAATAGCTACCGCATGAGGCAGGATAGATTAGGTTTGAAGTTTACTTGCTCCAAGTTGTGCTCGGATGCTTATTTGTTACCAGGAATATCATTGCATACAGTCAACTGTTCGGAGCAAAAGATGACTTTTTTGCCAAACCAAGTGGAAGATGCACATGAAGTGAGAGGATGAGCCCTCCATTCTTTAATGCTGTTGTTTGAGCCAGTCAGATTGCTTCTCAGGCTCTTCTAGAATATAACCCAAAATATGTCGCCAGGTAAATGTGTCTCTTAAAACATGGCTCAAGGGTCTGAACTTGGAATTTACGACTAAGGCTAAGAGTGACTCTACACATCTCTTGTCTTCTCTACCAGTCAATCTACCTCCTCTCTCTCGCAGAATGTGGTCGAGGTTTGGTTTGTTTGTTCCGAGTTTATTACTGACTCCAAATTTTGAACAGATGTATAAAAAGATTCTTCCTCTAGGTACTGTTAGCAACCAAGTAATAAAATTTTGATGGGCCTTCATCTGGTACACTTCTAAAACCTCCAAGCCATCTTAGCTCTCCTTCTAGAATCCTAACGCCATCCTTTGCACTGCTTTGCAGTCTTCCCTTGCTCTTCCCCCTGTGGTTCTCGAATATTGCAGTTGCCTTGTTCTTTGTTCTTTCTCTAGTGCAGATTATCAGGGAGTTAGAGGCCTTATCTACTACTCCACCCTGTTTGCTGTTTTATTCAAACAGCTATCCTTAGACTTGCTCAGGAGTTTCTTCATTTTTATTTTTCATTTCATCTGGGTGAGATACCGTACCTCATCGTGCCCCCACCAAAACACACAGCCTGCCCGGCTTTCTGTTCCACCAGGTCTCTGTTTTACAGGGCATTGCTTCTCTGGGTCCACTGCGAGAAATGCAAGGTGGCATCTTAACTGTACAGGCGTATAAATGCTTCGTGGAGTAACTGCTTCCGTAGAGCTTTCCATTAGCAAAGTTAAAGCATGTTCATAGCGCAAGATGGAAGATGTTATTCAAGTTTCCTATAGCATATGAACCTCTTGGTGTAAACTCTTGACTTGTAAATCCAATGGCAGAGCTTTTAACTGTTTAGTGAGGCGAAACTCTAGGTGTAGCTAACTGTCTCAGCTTTCCTTTTCTCGTTACTTTTTTTTTTTTTTTTTTTTTTTTTTGGCTAGTGCACATCTTAGACTCATACTACTGAAGGATATGTGTAATCTAAAGGAGTGACATCTATATGCATTTGGTTTATATGGAACAATAAGCTAAAATTTTCCATGAAACCATAATTTGTTGGAAATTCTATGCAGGCATTTTTCAATCTGGTTAATCTGTCAAGGACTTCCAGGACTGCTTAGATCTCCACTGTGAAAATCTTGAACTCTGAACTTATTTAATTGGGGAGAAAGAAGGAAGAACTAGGTTAAGAAAAAAAAAATAGGATCTTTTTTTCACAAAAAAATGGGATCTTTTTTCACAATCTGCCAATACAGACTATTCGAACAATACCAGACTGGGGAGGTTGCTTTCAAATATTCCAAATTCATGGATAAGGTTCCCCAATGTTTTTAACAACTTATTAGAAATCTGAAGCGCACAAACTTTTAAATCTATCATGCTTTCTGTTGTGGAAGGAACGTGGTGTGGTGTTAATCCTTTTAATCCTGGAATACAAATTGATTTTAAAATGTGTTGAATATTTAAGGATGACTTCATGCAAGTTAATAAACCATTTGTAAAGTGTTTGTATACAACCCTTTGTATCATGTTGTTGGTACACCTTACCAAATTTTTTTTGGGCATGTATTCCATTCTTAACTTCTGTACAATTTCTATCGTTGCTGTAAATATTCTAAAAGAGAAAAAAAAAAAATCCTGTGGTAACCTTAATTATCAGCATGGAAATGGTTAATTTTTACTGAGCACAATGTATTTTTGAATGGGCCTTCCAAAATATGTCTTTAATAAAAATGCAGATTTTGCACTAGAAGACTGGCCTGGCTCGCTGGCTCCTCGTGTTCCTGCCGCGCTCCCTGCGTTGGGCAGGGTAACTGGAAGCAAGCTGAGGAGCCAGGAGCACGTCGTGGGCTCTCTGCTTTCCCTCTGTGCTCCCAGCCAGGACTCGACGTCTGTTGAAGGACGTCTGAAACAGGCACTGCGTGGCTCGTGCCATTGCCACGGCTGCTCTCAGACCGCACTGCTGCCTGGTGCCTCCACTGGGCTGCGTCCCTCACGTCTCAAACAGGGAAACCCCAGCTACTGGCTCTGAACTCCCACCAGTGAGTGCTCCACGTTGGTCTCCCTGGGACAGAGAGCAGGGTGGGTGTGGGTATCTCCCTCTCTGATGGCCATTAAGGGGTCATTTCTGCAGGAATGCATTAGGGAAAAGGGCCTACTCTTATAGGAGCTGTAGCAGCTGGAGGGCCAGAGCTGGTCTCTTACCACATAATTTGGATTGGGCAAGCTTGACTACTCAGCACACTTTCCTCACTTATTTCTGTAAGCACTCCGGTCTAAAAATTCATGGCACGAGGCTAAAAAGAGCTCTTATTCCTACTTCCTATTTCAAAACTCTTCTGTTTTACAAGTTGCAAAGCCATATATTCGGTCTCCCTACCTTTGCAGGTAAACTCCTGCAGGATTTCTCACTCCTAGAAGATTGCCTTTTCAGCACTGCTGGTGTCATTTCTGGCTGGCACAGCTGCTCTTCTGGTTAATGGTGATTGGAGGCATCTGTGCCCAAAATTAAAATGACATTGCTATGCCAGGAAAAGTTTGACTTCATGAGGAAAAGCTTTGTAATTGTGTTTTGGCTGCTCCTGTCATGCTTTAATAATGCCCTCGTTCGCACGCGTACTTCAATACGCTGTGTTTATGCAGAGCTGGAAGTCAAGTGCATTTCTAAAAGCGTTTCAGGACCACTTAATTAATTAAGGCTCTCAGCACCCCTCTTTTCAGATAAGAGGCAGAGGTTAAGTGAATTTCCAGAGGTCGATTAGGAGGCGAGCGGCATAGCTCGGATGAGAAGAGAAACGCCTGCTTTAGCGGGCACCATTTTGATGCTGCAGATAAAAGCCAGCAGCAGGTCCCTTCCCTGTCCAGGCTGAGGGGTGAAGTGCAGGCAAAGGACGGGGCGAGGCAGGACGCAAATGAGCTGTGAAATTCAGCGCCTGCCTGTTAGTTCCACCTTATTTATTGCCGTACATCTCCGTCTGGGAAAAGGGTCTGCGGTCCTGTCTGAAACTGGGAGGCTGGAAGAGTGATAGCACAGGTCCTTTCTACCTGCACGGCCTTTCCTTCCTCTGAGGCTTTATCATACCCTAATATAAGCTCAGTCATGTGGTGGCAAATATATTAGCATGGTATCTTGGTATATAAGGGCACGTGCTTCTGCTGACCTTCCCCGCAGAGCTTGCCTGGACTGCTAGGCTAGCATTAATGGATTTACTGATTTCTTATTAAGAAATGTGCCCCTCAACCTATCTGTGGATAGGCAAAACTCATTTTGGGGGAGGGCACGGGGGAGAAGCATGAGTGATGTGACACAGTAATAATCATAATTTCATCAGGTGGGGACCGGTCTTTCCTACATCTCCGTAGACTTCATACTATTGGTATAGTAGACGAGAAGTTTTCAGGCTTGTCAGAACAGCCTATTTTTCTGACAGCTATTATTTAGTTTTATATGCAGGGGGGGAGGAAATCATGACGGAAACTTCCACCCTGTGAGGGAATAAAATGTGATGAACTTCACAGACAGGCTTTTCTGATCTTTTTGGTCATATCTCTTCAGTTTCAGTCACATCTCATCTTTTGCCCCACACAGCAGCCATGCAACTCTGCCTGTAGGGATCAGAAGAGGTCACAAGAGGCAGATCACCTGCCTTAGTGCTGCTGTCGAGGCTGTGGCAATGAACCACCACCGTTTTGTTGGCGTGTCCCACAAAAAAAAACAACAAAACTTCTACAGTAGGGTTTAGCTTTATCGCCAGGCATGGCATAAAGCAATGTTTTATTCAAGAAAGCCCTTCCACTTGCAGGGTGGACATTTACACTGCAGGACCGTGGCCTCAGCACACATCAACAGTGAGATGAGGTGGCTGTACAGGCGGACACCTCCTCATTCCTGTCCCAGAGGACTACGCGGGGCTGGCAGGGGCTCAGCCGCACTTGCCCAGGCACTCGAGGAGCTCCATGCGGATGGCGATGCGCACGTGCCAGCCCAGTGGGATGAGGCGGATGTAGCGGGCCACGATGGGCGGCCGCAGCAGGTTCTGCACTGAGGACGACCGGTCCGAGTTGCCGTAGAAAACCTGGCAAGAGAGACACGGGCAGGCGGTTCAGGGACCAGTCAGTGTGACATTCACTGGCACCGTGGCAGGGGGATGGCCACAGGGATGGAGCCATGGGGTAAGCACCGAGCCCCATCCACCCTGCTTCTCCCACAGCCCCCCCTGTCTTGAGGTACTTTCCCCCAATGGCCCAACACTTTCATGCAAGGTCCACTCACCCGGTTGTTCCCGGTCTGGTCCTTGTAGTAAACCCAGTTGAGATTCTCGTCAGTGCGGTACTGCACGCTGTACTTAGTCATCCACTCGTCGGCATCACAGCGCCCTTGCGTGAGGATCCCCGAGATCACCTTCACCTCCTTCAGGTCGATCTGCAGCCACTGCCCGTTGTCCTGGTACTTGGAGAGCCAGGCGCACCTGGGGGGACACCGCCGGCCCCGCTGCACCCTCCTCCACCACCCGAACCACCCTGCCTGCCCCTTGCTGCCTGGGGGCTGGCCCCCCAGCCCCCCCACGGGCCCCCCATGCGCACAGGGAGGGATTTTCAGACTCACCCGAAGCCTTGGCCGTTGAGGCGGGCCTTGTTGGCTGTCCATGAGGAGTACCAGCCCGTGTACTGCTCGGGGTTGGAGCAGCTGATCTGGTCGGGGGTGACAGCGCCGGACTCAAAGCCCAGAGGCTTGTGGTAGGGGCACTCTGCAGAGCAAGGGAGAAAACATGCTAGAGTCAGGGACTGAGCTGCTCTGCCTCCTGGTTGTGTTTGCCTGGCTCTTTTGTCAGTACCCTCTGTGGTTTCCTTGCACCCCTCTGGCCAGGATGCTCTTAAACCTGGACAACAACCCCTGCAGAATTTTCTGCCCAAGGGAGACAGCAGCTTAATTTCTCACTCCTCTTGCATGCAGTCATTAAACTTCCTAGGTCTGTACTGCTTGCAGCATTTCGGAGGGAAGGTTTTATTAAGATGCTGTGATCTCCCGGTTTCCTTCTTCCTGCAAGCAAGCACAAGCAAATCCAGGATGGATCCATGGTCCTTGATCCTGTCTCCAGGCTACTCACCTCTGCCTGGTCCTTTAGAAATGTCTGGCACAGCTGTTCTTGCCGAGCTTCAGCTCCTCAATTCATTGTCTTCATATACAGCTGTGCCTACACAGCAAAATTGCTGAGCCTGCTCCAATCATCCCTCCACAAGCATCCTCAGATCTCCCTGCATTTTCTCTTATGGGGATTATCTTTGTATTTGGAGATGGTCTGGCCTTATGGAAGATGTGCAGGTAGGTTGGTGTCAGTGAGGAGTAATGCCTGGCCCTGCTGAAGGCTCAGGGACCTCCTTGTGAGTATTTCCCTTCAGACCTTCAGGCTACCAAGCCCAACTCCATAGGGGAGCAGGGACACAGCTCATTGCATGTGTGGTGCCCTCATGCCATACCAGCATGGCTCATTTCAAGGGAAATAAAAGAGCAAGTGAAGCTCTGTGCAGCTTTACTCATGGGTGGGTCATTTTCAAGCTCTAGGCCACATCTGACAGACTGGCGTAATGCCTCTCGGTTAGAAAATGAGCGGGGTGTCAGAGCACGCCCAGAGCACAGCGTGACCACTGCCTCCTCCGGCCACTGCCCCGTGGTTGGCACAACGCCCAAGCATACCAGCAGGACGGTCGAAGTCTCATCAGCAATTTCCACCAGGCCAGTATCTTGCATGTCAATATCTCATTAACATATTTTGTTCAGTTGGTCCCTCATTAATGTGTTTTCCCCCAAAAAACACACAGCTGCTGTCCCGCCTTCCTCCAGGCATGGAAACACCGAGTGCATTAACAGCCACTACCAGCTGCTCGAAACCTCTGCACCCACAGCACACACTTCGCATTTATATGACATTAAAGAAACAATCAGAAGGGAACAGATTAGCTTTCACCTTTCTGAAGGGCTGAATGCGACGTGGTGGCAGGGGTAAGACCATGCTGTGGATTTATAGCCACCTGCCTTCTTGAGGACAGTTAATCATGCCCCCACCAGCTTTTCCACCACATTAAATGAAGTTCAGAAAATAGAAGTATAGAATCACAGGACGGTTTAGGTTGGAAGAGATGTTTAAAGACCATGTAGCTCAACCCCCGTCATGCCCAAAGCCCCATCCAGCCTGGCCTTGAGCACCTCCAGGGATGGGGCATCCACAGCTTCTCTGGGCAGCCTGTGCCAGTGCCTCACCACCCTCATAGTAAAGAATTTCTTCCTTATATCTAATCTAAACCTATCCTCTTTTAGTTTACAGCCATTCCCCCTTGTCCTATCACTTTACTCCCTGACCAAGAGTCCCTCCCCAGCTTTCCTGCAGCCCCCTGTAGGTGCTGTTAGGCCTCCATAAGGCCTCCCTGCAGCCTTCCCTTCTCCAGGCTGCACAACCCCAACTCCCTCAGCCTGTGCCCATAGGAGAGGTGCTCCAGCCCCTTGATCATCCTCCTGGCCTTCTGGACCCATTCCAACAGGCCCATGTCCTTCTTTGTGCTGAGGGCCCTGGATCTGGATAAGTTTCGCTGTTTGTGTAAGAAACTGCTTGTAGAGAGCAGCTGAGGTGGCCCCACCTGTTTACTACTCGGCAGGCTTATCTCAAAGGCAGCGTGGTTTTACTTTTAGCAACACTAATCACCAGATCACAAAACCGCAATGCAATTAGCAGGTCACCTTCTGGCACATAGTGCCACGCTGCACACAGAGACCCCCCAAGCAGATGCTTGGTGCCCAAACCGGCTACACCACATCATGCTGTTACTGCTGACCTGAAGGAAACTCACTGAGTGGCTGTGAGGCCATGCAGAGAGAGCACTGCTACCACTCCAGCACAGCTGATCTGCAAACCCTCCCCGGGCAGCGTGGTCACAGGCAAGGAGTTGTGCAACATGCATTATCCAGGAAACAGACCTTCGTTATGCAAGGAGGAAGCCTTCTGTGCAGCTACAAGATGATAATTTGTGAGAGCAGTCCTTCACACCCAACCTAGCCAGGAGGTCTGGAGCCACTCTTTTCACATGTGTCCCTTCCCTCAATCACAGCTGGATTAATCAGAACCAAATCTGTCTCCTGTCTCTCCTTGGTGCAAGTGACAGCAGGGCAGTACCATGTTTTTGCAAGGCTTTGGACTGAGAACCAATAAATAAATAAGTAAATAAATAAATAAAGGCATTATTAAACAGCAAGAGTATGCAAGGTAAGAGCAGGCTGGCATCCCAGAAGTTAGCAGTGGTAGGGAGCCACCAGAAGAAGGACCCCGTCCCCTTGGGTCCTGTCGCTGTCCCCAGAGAGCAGAGCTCAGCGCCTGCCCCTCCGCTCCCCTCGTGAGGGAGCTGCAGGCCGCCATGAGGCCTCCCCTCAGCCTGCTCTGCTCAGGGCTGAGCAAAACAAGGGACCTCAGCTGCTCCTCATATATCTTGTCCTCTAGACCCTTCACCATCTTTGTGTCCCTCCTTTGGACACTCTCTGATAGTTTGATGTCCTTTTTCATACTGTGGCAGACAGAAAAATCTTGACAAAACTGAGGGTGATGTGGAAAACCTGAAATGCTGCCCTGTGCCCAGGGCAGATGCATCCTCTGCTGGGAGTTTCTGTGGGCCATGCCCCAGCCGGCTGAGCCCTGGGGTTGAGGTGGCTTCTGCGGGAGTGGGATACGCGGAGGGGGAGCTCAGGGGAGCAGACGGCTGGGTGAGGACGGCTGGAAAGCCTCTGCGCTCATCCGCTGAGTCACGCCGCGGGTGGGAAGCCTTCACATCCAACACCAGCGTGGGATAGGGACACCTGTTTTTTTCTCCCTCTCATTTCTGCAAGCTCTGCCGGCGATGTCATCTCTTCCGTCTCTTGCAAATGCATGTTTTTATTTGGTTTCCAGCCTGTCTTGGCTCCACTCAGAGTGCTTCCAGGGTAACCCACCCACCCTCCTCTTCTGGCAGAGCAGCAAGGCCAGACACTGGGTGCCAGGGTGGCCAGTCCCCCCATCTCCCCTGGGGAACCAGGGGCAGCAGAACACACCTCCAGCCATTGCACGACCTCCTGCAGGAGCTGAGAAGAGGTGGCTGCTTGTGGGCACGAGGCAGATACCTCTTTCAGGGGCACCTGGCCAGAGCTGTGAGTCCCTCTGAGCATCAATGTGACACAGGTGTAGACGGGATGGTGGTTCTGTGGGACACATGAGCTAAATCCAAAGACCAGTCTGGCACCAATAAAACCTTCCAGGGGTAACACCTCAGAGGAAATGCAGAGCAGTTGTAGAGGAAAGAGCATGAACAGAAATCTAGGAAATTGGGTCTCTGAGGAGCTGGGTAGGGGTGGCCCAGAGAAAACCGAAACGTAATTATGGTCACTTATTGCTTAAAAATACACTACAAAGAAAGGATATACCATTTTCCACAGCTCCACAGCTTGGAGCAAGCACTGCTGTAACCTCCTCATTACAACACAAGGGGCAATGGGGCAAGCTGCTGAAGACCATAACACAATCACTGCTGAAAATGATCCGGCCCATTACCTGGCATGCACTCTAAGCTGTTAGTTCTGCTGGACCACACCAAGTTAGGACCTCCTTGGCAATCGCATTTGCAAGCCTTGCTGTGCCACAGCTCCAGTCTCTCATCCTAAAGGGAATAAGTAAATAAATAAATAAACAATCTGCAACGATAATGACACAAAGCTAAAAACTGAGTCCAGAAGCGAGTTTAGTCACCTGTGTGGCTACATAGGGTGACATCCACAGAGAAATAAAAGGTGTCTGCATCTGAATTTGGCAACCTAGTTGGCTGCTGTTGAGCCACGGTGTCACCGCAGGCTTCAGGGCCCCCAAACCATGCCACTGAGTGAGTGCCAGCTGGGTGCCCCCAAAAGGACACTGCAAGAGTGGCAGCTGAAGGTTGTTGCAGAGGAGACCCTGGCACCAGATGCCTCATGGGGGGTGTCAGATTTTACTCCCTGATGCCAACAGCTGCTCCTAAATGCTGCCTGTGAAACTCGGGTGAACTTCATGGCTACAAACCCAGATTCACTCTGTGGTGCGTGAAGAAGGCAGTAGGAAGAATTTCAAAATACAAAGATTTGAAAATTGCCTCAGCTAGGGGACCAGCACCCTCAACTTGCTACCAAACCTATGGCAGATGTGGTCCCACACCCACCCCACGTTACCCCACCTGGCCCCCAGAGGTGCTGAGCATTTGTTGCTTCTCCTACCGCCTGTGGGGAGCCAGCCGTGAGGACTTACCTCGCCGGGGGAAAGGGCCAGCGCAGCTGGGGCAGGAGGCATGGGGGGAAGAAGAAAGAGAGTTCAGACATGAAGACGCTGCCCACGAACATCAGGAAATGCAAGGAGTATTACTCCTGAGTTGGGTACAAATAAGGGGAGAAAGGACTGATGAATCCCATGCATCTCCCCAGGCTGATTGCCAGGGGGAAGCAAGAGGACATGGGTACCAGCTGGGGGCAGGAACAGGGCACTGTGTATGCCCACTGCGACTTCCCAGGGGGTTTTCTGTTTTATGGCTTTGATGTCTCCTCTTTCTGATCAGACATGCCTGAAACATCCTGAGGAGAAATCCACATCAGCTTCAGCCTCTGCTTTCCACCTGATGTTGCTCCTATTCCTCCTTTCCATCTTCCTGCCCTTAAATTTTTAATTTCCCATTTTGCCCACAGAACCTGGGAGCTGATGGCGGGTGAAATCCCAGCCTGCAGCCACTGCCAGTCACCGGTGGCTTCGGAGGAGACGCGACTCCCCTAGAGGTGGCTGTCAGTGGGAGCCCTCCCTCTGAACTGAGACGGAGGAAAACAAAATGTAAATGGGTCTTCCCAACCAGTCTGACATGCAAGACTCCTTTCTGTTCTTTTTTTTTTCGATTGGGTGGTTGGTTTTTTTTTTTGAGGGGGAGAGGGGGGCAGGAGGTGCAGTGGCTGTAGAGGAAGAGCTTCTATTTTTGCAACACCTGACCTGTTTTATCTCCTGCCTGTCCCTGAGCAATGGCTTTTTTAATACGAGCCCTTTCCTTGCTGAAAGGGCTCTCCCACTTCCCCCTGAAGCCCAAAGCTGACTATTTTAATAGCATTCGGACTGGCAGAGTAGTGTCGAGACAGCTATGAAAATCATTTTTAGAAGCTCCTGTAACTGCTGATACTTCATCAGTACAAGTCAGATGTCAGCCCTCGGGTTTCCGATACCCACGGTGAACTTCCAAGCCACTAAGAGCCAAGCTGTGGAGCAGGTAAAATCTTGCATACAGAAACCATGAGCATACAGCAATCTCCAGACAGAGGTTTTGTGAACAGGAAAAGAGGATCTTTTGATCAAATGAATTAGGCTCTGAATTATTCACTGAAATCCAGTTATGATTTATTCATTCACACCCTGTTACTTTGCTGAGCCTAGGAAGGTCCAACTAATGCTGGTAATTTACATCTTGCATTTATACCGCAAGTTTCGTCTCAAAAGATTCACAAATGCTGTGCAATTATAATCAACTGAAATATAAACTGTATACAAAGCTCCGTTTGTTGCTGAAATGCAACCGCTCCTAGGGCTTGATAGTGAGCTCGAATGTATCAAGAGCCTGAAAGAAGAGCTTATAAAGGAACAAAATGGTAAAGAAACACATAAAAACAATTTTAAATACGGAGATGTTGCCTTTGCTTCAGTTTCCCAGGACCCTTAGGCAAACCTCCAAACGTCCCACCTGGGCAGCGTGGCCTGAGAGCCCCTGGTGTTGGGAGAGGCAAGCAGAGGGAGCGATGCCCTTGCCTGCAGAAGGCTGGAAAAAGCAGTAATTGATATATTGGTGTGTTTGCAGCCGTGATGGGCCCTGTCCTACAAAGGAAATGAAGAGGAAAGCTAGCTGCCAATAGCCTAAAAATGTGATGGCCAGCGTGCTTTTATAGTGAGCGTGTTTGCCTTCAAGGAAGGTTAGAAAGATAATTGGTAATTGTAGGTCAGACAGAACGAATTGCTGCAATTCGTGGAAGAGTCAGAGTCCTGCACGGCCGCCGCAGGCTGTTGTTTTAAAAGCACAGGACTGAAAAAAAAAAAAGAAAAAAAAAGAAAGAAAGAAAAAAAAATAAAACAAAAAGGAAAGAGCCCTATTTACAGCCCCTGAAGTGCCCCAGGACATTTGGCAAACCATCAGTTCAGTGAAATAAAATATTATTTGTGTGTGTTTGTGTGAGAGAGAGATCCAGCTTGTCCCTTCCGTGTCCCTCCATCCCACGTGCCGTGAGACACATCCAACACACGGCTGGGCACAAACACAGCACAGTGTGTGGGGACTGGGGCTCAGCTAAGCACCCGTGGATGGATTTGGGTGCTCATCCTGGTGGACAGGATGTTTTTTCTCTGCTTCTCCCCTTCCCTCCTCTTTCTAGCGGGGCAATGTCTGGTTTCAGCCCAGATTGCAATGCTCTTCAGGGAAGGATCCAGGTGATGGCTCCATGACCACCACAAGAAATTAATTCCCCAGTGAGGTTTGTGTGAGTCCTGCAATTTGCAAAGGCCAAGGTGCTTGTCTGAACACTGGGGCTCATTGTGTGGCTGCAAACAATGAGCAGGGATTCACAAATCCAGAATGGGCAGGCAGGAGAACAACAGGCTGCCATGCAATGAAGCGCTCTCCTTTTAGTGACAGGAGCAGAAAAGTGCAGGGCTCTGAAAATCTCTGGTCATGGAGAATGTGACTAAACAGGAGGAAGAAAGGAATAAGTAAGTGTGGCCAGAAGTAACATTGGCAAAGGCTGAGCACATCTCAAGAAGGTCACCTCTGGAAAATCATATTGAACGTCCTGAGCATTGCCACGACAGCAAGCGGTCCTTCCTAGAGTGGCTACAATTATTGGCAGGTGTACAAGGATCAGAAAGAGCACTGTAACATAAAATGGAGAATTAAAATAAAGCATAGAGCAAACGTCGGTCACTCGATTTACCCAAGTAAGTCGGTAAGCTGCCTGCTCAGTGCAGGCACAGTATGTGGAAAATGTTAATGACTGTTTATTGACTTTGCAATTTAGGTGGCGTAGATCTTCATCTGGAAAATAACGTTACCTCTCGTCTGTGCAAGCAGCGTCTCCACTGAACAGGGCTCAGAGAGAAGAGCAAAACCTGACAGCTGCTCAGCTCCTTCCCCCCTGCATGTGTGGGACATGGTACAGGGGGAAGGAAAGCATTTTAAAATGTGGAGAGATGTGACTGTGGCCCCAGAAAAGCTGTCTCAGGAATAAAAGAGGAGAAAGGAGTGAATGGCACTGGCTCTATCACGTTTCTGGAAGGGTGCTGCATTTCAGGTTGGCTAAGGCAACACAGAGGGCCAAGAGCAAAGAGCATCTTTACCTGCAAAGAGTGGGAAACCTCCTCGTAGGGGGGAAAACGCAGCCAGGAAAGGGCCATGATGAGCCATTCAGTACTGCACCTTTCTGCCTGCAAAGCAGCCACGAAGCCACAGAGCATTTTGCACCCAAAGGGTCCCAAGCCCTCCGAAAAAGGAGGCGAGTTATCTTCATCTGCAGGCAGGAGCCACCCCGGAGTCTTCAGATCTGCCTCCAGCACAAGATTTGGGGTGCCACACAGGCATCACGAAAGCAGAGGGGAGAGGGGCTCATCCGTCGCGCTCAGCTCCTCCCTCGTGCTCTAAGGCTGTTACCTTTTTCCTCATTTATTTTGTCTGAGTTGCTCTGTTTTTTTCCCTTTTTCATTTTCTTTATTTAAATGGCTTTTTAATTGGGTTTCCATTTTTGTTCATTTGTATCGTGTTTCATTTAGCGTGTTCTGGTATTTCTCCCAAAGTTATAAAAACCTTATATAAATAAGGACAAGAATACCTATTTAAGTCATAGTCATTTCTCTTTTACACCTGCTGTCTCCACAGTGTCTCTGCAAATCTTTTATGTTGTGAAAATATTTGGAGAAAAAAAATCAGGAAAAAAAATCAACCTTTTCCCCTCTTCTTCTTTCAAGCGGGGCAATTATCTTTTTTTCCAAAGTGTTCCTTTGAACATTTTTGGCCTTTTCTGATCTTATTGACGTGTTTGTTCCTTCTCACTCGGCGACGCAGAGCACTGCCTGCATAGTAATTTTAGTAATTTTGTTAGATGTATCAGCTGTGCCAAAGGGTGGCACTAAAGATGTTATTTAGTGCAATCCGAAGGCGGGTTCGGGCTTTTTGATTTTTTTTTTGGTTTTGATTTTTCCAAAGCTGTGAAAAACACAGAGGGGTGAAAAAAAAAAAAATCCACCTTTTTTAACTGTTGAGCTGTGCCTGTTCCCCGACGTGTGATGAGCTGGGACGGAGCGACGTGGCACCAGCACGTCACATTCAACGTGCCCCAGCCCTGTTCGTGTTACCCCCGACTTGGGGTGCTAGGGATGGGGCTGGCAGCTGCTGGGGTGCTGGTGCAGGATCCTGCTGCTGCTGTTTCGGCAGGGTCCCCAGCAAGTGGGAGCCCAGCCAAAGCGCGGGGGCCGGGGAGCTCCTCTAAGCCGCTGGCTCTGCTGGAGAAAATCGTTAAGGAGCTTACGGTGGCATCGGGGCAGGTGGCTCGGGGCTCACCCCCAGCACCTTCTCCACAGTGAGAGAGGAGGGGGCTGCCTGGGCAAAGGGTCGCTGCCCACCGATCATATGGAAGGGGCTGCTTGGGCCGTGGAGCACAGGAAAAAATAAAAACTACACGGTAGATTAAAAAAAGCAGTAAACTAGGGGGGGGGGGAACATAAATACCAAAATAGTGATGCCTGGAAAGTGATCCTGCAAGTGATTTTTCACTGCAGGCTCTCTGAAAATATCCTGATGTGTGGGTGTCTATTAAAGGCAAGCTGTGCCTGGGCTTCAGAGCAAGGTACAAGCTCGTTCCAAGGGCTGACGGCAGTAATGCCGCCCCTCGGGGAAAAACACCAGAGTCTGGGTAACAACCCTCTCCCAAGAAGTTCAGGCACCAGTAACATTTTTAGGTGAAGTGAAGGACAGGTGAGGGATCTGGTACGAGGGCAGTGCACAGCTATGTGCTGGAAGATCAGAAGGAAGACCCATAAATTGGAGCAGGCTACGTCTGAGCATATCAGGATGAAATGGAGGTACAGCTACTGGAGGAACGCTTCCCTGCCCATTGCGTTTGGCAGACCAAAGTAAGCGGTGGAAATAGAGGAGGACTTTAAAAATTAGACAAAGGGAAACACTGAGAATTCAGCATCTATGGGTGATACATCTGTCCCACACCGACACATCAATTTCCAGCTTACAGCCTTAAGACGTTCAGAGCTTTCCTGTCAGCTCTGAGTAAGTCAGAAGTTCAAAAACAACCCCAAAATGATCTCCTCATTCCACATTTGGGTTAATTAAAATGGGAGCAGACCATCACCCTGACACTTCTATCTTCTAGTTCCCACTTAACTGCTATCGTTGTTATTTTTCTGAAAAGTAACTTTGAGAAAGCCCCAAAAATGTTAAATACTTTTCCCATTTACTTTTTAACTTCTGATTGCTTTTTATTCTTAAAGAGCCTTTGAAATTCTTTTCCAGGACAAAATACCTGAAAGAGCCTTTAAGAAAAAGCAGATCTCTACCAGCAATGTCTTGCTGCTAGAGAAAATGATCGGGTTTTGATTAATCAAGAGTTTTGATTAATGAAGGACCAGTCTTTCACATTCTACTGTACCTCATTTTTCAAATCAGCATTATTATTTACTCACTGGCTCAGCTGCACTACAATTTTCTGTGCAAATTCATATTTTGACAAATTACATGGCAATTTTTTTACTCTGCAATTACTTTGTAAGACAGAGTTGTACTACTGAATATTCATAGAGCTGTAAGAACGCTGCTCGCTCATGTACATAAATTACACATCTCCTCCACAATTCCTCCTTCCCCTGAATTATTATTATGCTTCCATCAGAGTGCAGAGGGGAGCTCACTCCGTACCCCACGGCCCCCAGCAGCACAAAGAGGAGTGGATGAAGCAAGGAATGCAAAGAGGGACATCAGAAAGCGCCTCTCGGGAGGCAAAGTGCATACCTTTGTACCAGAAAAGAAGAGACAGCAGGACGCTTCCCATCTTGAGCTCCATCTTTTCCTTCCTCTTTCAGGAATAGCTACTTAGCCGGCTGCTCAGCTTTCTGGGAAGGCATGAGATTAACTTAAGCATTGCCTAAGCACCTTACGCTCCTCCATTCTCGGGATTTTATCAAGCAGCATCAAGCCAACCACACAGTTACTGCTGTCAAGCTGCATCCTAGAGGATGTGCCATGGGTAAAAGGTAAAAAGTACGGAGGTACTGGCACCGTGAGTGAGAATCCAGGTGTGCATTTAGGCATGTCCACATAAACATGGATATGCCTACCTAGAAACTATACATACCCCCCATACAAAGGCAGAGGATGTGTCTAATGCTTATAAAATATAGTCTATTATATGTAGTGAATATTGTCTGTTTTGTGCAGTATGCATTAACTAGCTTCCACCCCAACTATTTACCCCTACACCATCGATGCCTGTCCTAATAATTGCTGTGTGTAGGAATCTGCCCTGGCCTTGCTGCTCTTTCAGTCACCTAATTGCAATGGGCTGAAAACTACAATTACTAGATCAAACAGAAATAGCAGGCTTTGGCTGTTTACTTGCAGAGATGCTAAAATCTGAAATCAAAAAATGAAACCTCCCTTTGCTAGCAGTTCTGCCTATCATGTTCTCTTGTCACTTGGTCACTGCTTTGGGCCCCAAACACAGGGGCACATCAATGCATCTGTAGGCACTCAGCAGAGATGAGCTGAGGCCTGCAGTTATCTACACTCAGCATTGATTACGCCCTTTTTTAGGTCACCCATCCCAAGGAAGGCCAGTCCTCCTCTTGATGTCATCTCAGCCCTCCACCTCCAGCAGTTGCAGAGATGGGCCTGGTCCCAAATTCACATCTACCTCGCAGGGCTGATACATGGCTGCCCCCATCTTCCTCATGTTCCCTTCTGCATCCTCCCGTTGTGCAACCTCCCATAAATAAACCTCTGTTAGCAGGTCGGTCCTGAAGCATCCCACTCCCTGCTGCCACCCCATGCTGTAGGGCACCACATGTGATGGGGCACAGCGGGGCAAGCAAGCAGGCGGCTCACTGCCAGGCACCAGAAAGGGGGTCATTTTCCTCAGGACAGGGCAGCTCCTGATTTTTTGCTTAGAGGCCTCACACTCATTCACAGCATCTCTCACAGGACAGCAGGAGCCATCAGAAGGTCCTGCCATAGGTCGTAGTTTTGTGTGAGAAATACAATAGCTCAGGGATGGTGTTCAGAAACAGCACAGTTATTATCAAAGAGCATTTCATTCAAAGGGATGTCCTCAAAGCTGGCAGGTCCCCGGTTATAAAATTCTTTCCACAGAAAAAAAAAGGGCAGCCTTTGTACAAAAATATGTCTGTGGCATTACAAAATATGGAATTGTTTCACATGAAGAGTCAGAGAGAGTTAAAACTGAAGTTTCTGCACTCCAGACCCTCTGTGTGTATTGCTATTGATAGTGCTTCGTTTTAATAACTGCAAATGGCAAAACCATGCTGCCACTGCAGACAGCATTGCTAAATGAATCACGTAGTTCACTGCTAGCAGCCAGACAAATACTTCCAGGTATAAAAGACAGAAAACATTTTAAAGCCAGTGCACAATACAGCACCACAAAGGGCTATGTTTGCCATTTATTTATTTATTAAAAAAAAAAAAAAAAAGATACATTTTAGCCTGGCATTGGTTATGATCATGGAACACAATTGTGCCTGGTACAAACAGCCCAGAGTAGGGCAATCTCATTATATCCATGTTTCTAAGTAAAACAGTCAGGTCCACCCTTTCGACACATCTTCTCCAGGTCTAGCTCATGACCTATTGACACTAAGACATTTTTGTATGTTTTTATGGCCCTCGGATATTTTTGCCTGCTTTCTTCCCTTAGACTGTTGGAAATAACACAAAGACCCCCCTGCACCATCAGGATGTTTTTATTGCACAAAGCTGTGAGTATGGCTTGCATTTCCAGGGGTACATAATGGTGTGAAGCCCAGGCAGGAGGGGGAATCAAGCACAGTGGAGATTGACTCAGTGATGAGGATGTTTACTGGCATGCATCCTTCCCCAGAAGAGTGCAGGCACTATGCAGAGTGGCTAGTTGGCCTGCACCACAATTTTACCAGGAGCTTGTTAAAAATTAAACAGCATGGATGGCTGGAGGCCACTGGTTAACAAATGCAACCACAACTCCACACCGTTCGAGCCCTATGCCAGCTTCTTAATGCAGACTTGCACTTTCTGATAGAAGCTTTGTTTTAATGAGAAATTAATCAGCTTCTGGGCACAACAGAGCAGTGTTTCCAGGAGCTTTCCAAAGGCACCAGCAGCTGCAGAGCCTTCCTGGCACTGGACTGTACCTGCAGCAGTGTCCTCGGGGGACAGGCAGGAGATGAAGGTGCCTGTATGCAAGGGAAGCATAGCTCCACACGGTGATTTTGTGTTTCTCCCAAAGTCAGAGTGCCAGACAGCAAAATGAGAGCAACATGCACGAGTTTGTATGTCTGGAATCCAAGCACAGGCGCCACACGATTTCGTAGTGCTAATGTGTGACTGGAGCACTTTGGTCTTAGCACAGTTAGGGAATGTACAAAATACAAATTTATATATGTACGTGTGAACGACAGGCATCGCTCAGAAGCAGGATACAGACGTGCTGAGAGAGTGAAACTGCCAATGGTTCTGGAGCTTGAGTCAAAGCTTCAGGAGCTGTATTCCCTTGGTGGATGGAGCAATGGAGCAATCTACACACGCTGAAGATCTGTCATTTGAAATAAAATAGTAGCTTAAGTCCTCTTCTGGGGAAAAACAAACAAACAAAAACAAAACAAAGCAAAACAAACAAACAAACAAAAAACCTTTCTCCTCAATGCAACAGAACAGATGCAGCTAGTTACTTGGTGCTGGCCGGCAGGATCCGTCCCAGTCCCCTGTGACACTGGGGCTGTCATTAGCAGGGTGAGCATCATGGGATCACCACCCCAATTAGACAGGACATACCTTCACTGAAGGCTTGCCTACACTATATTGGAGAAGTCTAGGTGTAGCTGACTCATATTTGGACCTGGAAACAACCGTGCCATGACAGGTGTTTTACGCTCAAAGCAGGACTTAGCATGGAGATGGGGTCCAGATGGGGTCTCCTCACCTCGGTGTACTGGAGCAAAGGGACCCTCTTCCTTCCACACAGGCACCTTTTCCCCAGGCCCTGAGGAGGCTCCCGGGGTTACCATTTTCTGAAAGCTTGTATGTGCAAAATGAGATGGCATGCAGTTAAGTTGCTGTGATGCAGGGTGAAAAAACAAGATATGAGGAGCAAATGAGGGAACTGCGTTGTTTAGTCTGGAGAAGAGGAGGCTGAGGGGAGTTCCCATCACTGTCTACAACCACGGAAAGGAGGTTGCAGTGAGGAGGGTGTCAGTCCCTTTTCTCAGGTGACAAGTGATAGGGCATGAGGAAACTGCCTTAGGTTGTGCCGGGGGAGGTTTAGGCTGGGTATGAAGAAGAATTTCCTCACAGGGTGGCCAAGCATTGGAAGGGGCTGCACAGGGAAGTAGTGGAGCCCTTCCCCCAGAGGTGCTTCAGAGACAGGTGGCACTAAGCAACAGGGCTTAGTGGTGGGCTTGGTAGAGTTAAGTGATGGTTGGACTTGATAAAATCTAAAGGGTCTTTTCCAACCTAAATGATTCTCTGATTGTGAGTTAATCAGCTCCCGGTTAATACAGGTGACGCTAGGTTCAGCGCTGGGGAGGCACGCAGGGAGCTAACCGCACAGAGGGAGGCCGGCCGCTGCCGGGGTGTCTGTGGGACCACAAAATGGCTGCGGGGCACTGCGGCAGCTCAGCCAGCGGGTGTAAATCCTACAGCTCCTGCCCTGCCAGGGAGACGGCTGAGGGAGCCTCAGTGCCCCAGGGAGCAGCAGCCAGGAGAAGCCACACCTCGCTGCCTTTCTCTACGTATTTTGTTTTGTTTTTTTTTAGGGGGAAAAATGAAGTCCTGCGGTGACACTGTCTAGAAGTGTTTGGACTCTTACAAAAACGTGCTATTGCACAGGGCCTGCGGCAGGTGTAGGGCTGCCTCTCAGCCCCTCTGGTGCTGAGGGGTGACCATGTGAAGCCCTGTGGGGACAGGCTGTCCTGAGTGAGTGGCCTTTCTGCTCCCTGTTTCTCGCTTCTCCACCCCACACAAGGCTTGCTTCGTTTAGACGGGCTTAGCCGGTTGCCCATTTCAACAGGAAAAAAAAAAAAAAAAAAAAAAAAGAACAAATCGGTATTCATTGCAGTCAAGGTAACGATAATGTTGAGTGTTAGACACAGGAAGAAGAAAAAGTGAACGCCGCTGGTTCCACTGGGGCTCGAACCCAGGACCTTCTGCGTGTAAAGCAGACGTGATGACCACTACACTATGGAACCGCCACGGAAGCCCAACGCCGCGGCGCTCCCCCTATCATGTAGGCATGGTGGGGAAGGGGGGGGCGCCTCTTTCCCCGCCCAGGCGGCGCCAGGCGGGGCCGTTGGGCGGGGAGCGGCGGCTTGTGAGAGAGGGCGGGGAAGCCTGAGCTTCAATATATAATTCTTTATTTTTCCATGTTTATGTTTTTGTTTGTCAGTTCATTAAAAGTTTGATTGAAAATCGTTGAGCGCAGCGTGTTTTCTGGTCTGCAGACAGCTACAGAGCAGCAGCGGAGGGGGGTGAATCGCTGAGGGAGTTTCACCCGCGGTGAGGTTTCCTCTTCGCCTGTGGGCAAGCCCAGGGTGTGCGGCCGGGGGACGCAGGTAACGAGCCTGGCACTGCCTCACAGCCTCACGCTGCATGGCTTGGGCGCTGAGCACTCCCTCCCCGGGCACGTTTTGGGGACATTTTGCTGTCAGCTCCCGCAGCCATCGCTGCCATCTCACCCCCCTGGCAAACGGCTGGCAGGCCTCCCTCTGCACCCTGCTGCTGCTTGGCTTCGCTCGGCTGCTCTCGTCCTGCAGATCAGCAGAGAGCAGAGGGCATCACAGAATCATATCAACCTGGCACAGTGCATTTCGGTGCCCCACAGGTCGGCCAAACCGTGGCAAAGGCGGACTGGGCTTGGCAAGAGCTGCACGAACACCCCCGCTGCTTCTGGGGAGCCTGGCTGCGGGATTTCTTGCAAAGCAGTCACGGGAAAGAAAGCTGTTCGGTGGGGGAGGAAGGTGGAGATGAGCCTCTTGCTGCAGAAGGCAGCGTTTTAAATAGCATGCTGAAAGGGAAGGCAGAATCTGGAGTTTGTCAGTGGTGGTAATGCCCTTGAAGCTGTTGCGTGGTGCCTGACGGATCCACCCAAGTATGATTTATCCCCCCAGGCGCAGCATGGTACATACTAATGAGCGTTCTGAAAACGAGGCCTTTTGCCCTCAAAAACCCGACTGGAGAACTTCGAGGCTTTTTCTTCACAAACCTGGCCGAGGGGCTGACAGGGGGCCTGCCCCCCAGCCCTGCCTCTGGAGCAACTTGTGCCTTCCTGCCCAGCCCCTGCTCTCCTCCCCCGGTAACACCTCAGGGCCACCCCAGCACTCCTTGCTGTGCAGCTGGGTCCGTAGGGACTGTGCATGACACTCCTTTGCAACCAAATTATTCTTTTTTTATTTTTTTTAATGGGAAAGATATATGTATATTACGTGTTGATGCAGCACAAGAAGGCCTAAGTGCTTGTTTCTGCTGAAGGGAAGCTGTTGGAGCTGCTCATGCAATCCACTTAAAGCCGCCCACACATGTAGGGATGTCCAAGATTGCTTGGGTTGTGGCTTGCTGATGGATCTGCTGCAGGAGATGGCTCTTTGTGAGGGTGCAGAGCAAGGCAGGCATCCCTGTGGGTCCAGTCAGGCAGGTATTTATGCATTCCAGGGCTTCCTCGGCATTTGTCACACCACACCGAATTCAATGATCGTCTTAAACATAACATCTGTTATGTTTTACCTGGGGTTTTGCACCACTCCAATAACTGCAGTGCTCGCTATACCAAATCCTCACGTCCCGAAGGGAGTGAGTGACTTGTAGAGGGACAAATGAAGGCTTCTGTTCTGTGCTTACAGGACTGTGGTTAAAAATTGCAATGAGAAATTGTTATTTGTCATATGCAAGGTAAATACATTAATTTTCAGAGGCATGTGGTGCCTGTAAGCAAAACAATGTATTGTTTGTAGCTAAATATCATGGTTGCCATGACTTTTGAAATTATTAATATTTTGCTGAAGCAGCAGGTTATATACAGTTGCAAAATTATGCCTTTTTATTTTTTTTACTTTTGCCTTTTTTGTCATTAGAAGCAGTTTCACAGAAGTAATATGAAAACAGAGGTGAAGAACATGATATTTCTAGACTTTTTTGACCATCTACTATGTATGTGATGGCTGCACTTACTAACTGGTAGGCCTTAAAACAAACAAACAAATAACATATAAAATAAAACCCTTTTACATCACAGTCATCAGTGTGTGAGCCAAACAGCTCCCTGTGCCCTCTTGACCTGGAGAGCCTGACTTAGCATTGAGGGTCCCAAAGCCTGGTAAGCTTGAGGCTTCAGGACATAGGTTTTGCACCAGGCTAACAACATGCAGATCCAACTTTCATTAGGCAATTCTTATGCCCGTTTATTTTTCCCATTTATGCCCATTTATTTATTTGGTGAAATCTGAGTGCTGTAGACAGCTGTCATCTCTACAGGCTCCAAGGGGAGGCTGAGACTAGCTTGTGGAGGAGTAAAGTTGTTGAAATTATGCCATTGGGCATTGCTTTCCAGAATAATCTGCATTCAGCTAACGATTTGTGTGTGTGTGTGTGTGCGTGTTTGTTCATTATTATTATTTCGTTCTCATTTTTACAGAGGGCATCCTGGTGCTTTCATAATGTTCCTGTCCAGTTTCTTGCCCTTCAGCAGTTTGGAGGCTCTACAGCTGCCTTTCTTAGCCCGTGTTTCTGGTTTTATGTACTTTTTGGATGATAATTTTGGTGTCTTGTATCTGTCATCTTTGCACCTCAGAAATGCACATTGCAGGGGGGGATGTCTTCCTGTTCACCCAAATTAACCTCCTTGGGCTGAATTGTGAGAACAGATTTCTGTCATCTCACCAACTAAGACACAGTTTAATATGGAAAAGCCGGATAAAATTATTCCGTCTATTTGTTTCTCCTGTATCTCTTCTGTCCCTTTTATTCCTTCTGTTTGCGACCACGTGTCCAGATCTCTCAGTCGGGGGCTTGTCCCCTGGCCAGTACTTTAAAATACCTTCTTGGATCACATAAAAATACTTCCCTGAGCTTAACAGGAACAACAGCGCAGAAGGAGCACATTCGCTCCAGCTATGTTCCTCTTCCAGCCTTTTTGAAACATACTGACCGCATCGCTTTGTAGCGGGTGCCTCTGAGGAAGAAGCCTGAAGCAGATCTTGAATTATGCATGTGGGATGCCTGCATGGAGGCTGGCTCAGGAGGTTGATTTCCAAAGCATTTGGAAAACAGAACGCGTGCTGTTATTTAAAGGACTGCTTGTAAAGGGGTCTCCCGCTTTCTGCACTAGCAACGTAGCTTCATTTTTTTTTTCTTGTGCTAGACAGCTCAACAAAATATTATCAGCGTGTTGTTGCCTGCTGTCTGTTGCAGCTGTTGATGCTTGCAAAATCCTCTTCAGCATCTTAAATGTGCGTGTGATACGTGGCTGCTGAGCAAAAAAGCTCAGCATGTGTGTGACGTGTTGGCGGGACTGGTGTGTTCCCTTTCCCCCGTGTAGAAAGGAGGATGGTCTTGTTAGCTCCAGCCTTCGTCCTTGGACTTGGATGGGAAAGGCTAATTTGGAAGGCACTTTTGTTTGTGTTTCCTCAAGCTGCACGTTTCCGTGATCCCCACACGTAACTGGAGAGGTGCCTTAGCCCAGCAAGACTGTTTTTTTTTTTATCAGGTTGCTCAGTCACGTCAGACCACTGAGACAGGGGACGAGCAAATTCCATGAATGCCAGGAGAAAACAAGCAGGAGAGTCTTTGTCCTACAGGATCTAACAGCTAAAGGTTCGATTCCTCTCCCACTCATCGTGGATGAAGCATTTTCTGATGGATTTCTTGGCTACTGGAACAAACCTCATAGCCTCTCGTTAGCAGAAATCTTGCTAAATGCCAGCGTAGATGAATTTATCAGACACAGTCAATGTTTTATAAATGGCGTGTATCCCCAGAGTGCAGAGGAAAGAGGTTATGATGTATTTTTGCTTGCATGCATTTTGGCAGAACAGCGTGATCATACATAAATGATTAGCTACTGTAACTCTGATCAAGGCAAGCGCATCCTGCCAGAAAAGCAAACATCAACGCTCTTCTGGGTCATGCCGAATTGTGGAGCCTGCTATGTATTTTCTTTGCTGCCTCACTTCACAGGAAAGGAATAGCTTTGAGAGTGGAAGCTGGTGTCTGGCACTCCAGAACCTCAAGGACTAGCCCAGTCAATCCAACCAGTGCATTCACACGGTGCCTTCGACTTTGTGGGTTTGGCACTTTTAATATCTTTTGCATGTTAAAAAATGTGTCCATTCTGTCACAGTGAGGGAAAGCCTCTGTCCGTCCAAAAAGATGATTTGAACACTGTGTCCAAGTGCCCAGGACCATGTATAGTGGTGGAACCACAATACATGTGTCTGCTGATACCTGGTATTTTTGAGTTTGCCAGTGTACGTGTTCAAAATCGTGGTGTCCCCGTGCTGCTCGTGCAAGACCTGGCAGATTCTTCCACCAGCACTTGGACTTGGTGGCTCTGCCCTTTTTGGGCACCTGTGAAGTGACTGTGAGCACACGGCCAACGAGGCAGGGAGCTATGTCAGAGGTGTGGGCCTTGCAACCAGGGATCAGGGTTTGATTTCAAATCATGCAGCAGCACAGCACGGCTTCCTGACCGCACAGGGCAGCCACGCTCACCAAACCTCTCGGCCTGTCCCACCTCTTCCCAGCAAAGGGATCGGATGAGCTGAGTCATGAACCCGAGCCCCAGTCACACCCTTATGGGGAGCACCCAAATCACTAACGTGTGGTTACAGTGCCTCGTGGCAACTTCAGCTGGCAGCATTTCTTTCCTTAGGAGCTTGCATAATCATGCCAGTCACATCAGGTAACCAAATACCCAGACAGTCTGCACGGCTTTTTTTTTTTTTTCTCCCTCGTGTAGTCCAAGATCTGCTAAGATGCAAATCATTGCCTCATCCCGGCGGTAAGGCCGTGCCTCTTGAGAGAGGCCATGTGACTTCAGATGCGAAGCCAAGAACTTCAGCCCATCCCTGTCTCTGCCTGAGATTCGGGAGGCATGGTGACCAAACAGGTCTCCAACAGCACGCAGCGCAGCCGGAGGGCTGCAGCCATCAGCTTTCACATCGGGCTGGACGGTGGAAATGGCTTTTTCCCCTGACTG